GAGAGCAATCATTTGGCTGGTCCTTTGTTGTGCCTAGAATGTTTCTCTTCACACATCCTGCTTCAATAAAAGTTACTGGATCTCATTTTGTTTACTCATGATCTCTATTTGGATGAGTAGTTCCTGGCAGGAAGTTTCTGCCATGTTTAGTTAACCATTTACTTTACTTTCAATATTCTGGTCATATGCATTGTTTTTTTCAAACTTCTATTGAATGAAATGGCTGCTTTAAAGACTCAAACATAATGTCAAAATTTCCTTGTATCCCATGCCATACAATATCCTCTATCTTTTGCATTTGACAAGTAGGTTATGCTGCTAGTAGGCTACTCAATTCATAAATTATGAATCTACTGAGTTTCCCTGGACCTTCATTCTGAATTGGCAGTAATTTTCATTTCCAAAATTGGCAAATTCACCAAATATTTTAGGGGGCTCGGAAAGAATTTATTTTCCCCAGTGTGCTGCATATTATAATTACTACTAGTGCAATTGATTATAGAATTTGCGTCCTACAGGCTATAGTGTCATTATTTGCCATCCACTTAAATAATCAAAAAGTTGTCCTTGAGCAGGTGCATTTCATTAGTTTCATATATTCTTACAGGTGTGGAGAAATCTGGTAAAAATGCCGAGGGGGATTCATGGTGGGAAACATGGCAAGAAAACCTTCATCAAGATGAATGGAGGTCCGTTTTTGATTTTAAATCATTTCCATGTTGACAATAAGGAAAGTGGTCATCTAAACTAGTGTTGCATACTTATTGTTGCAGCAACATAGCGAGAATAGAAAGGAGTGCACAAAACAAGCAAAAATCAGGAAACTGAAAAATGCTGGGTGGTATGAGAAATGGTAAGCTGATCTAGTATATAACATCAAATATTGGTTTTCTTTATGAATCATTTACAATGTTTGTAGGTGGGAGAAATATGATGCAAAAGGCTGGACCGAGAAAGGCGCACATAAGTATGGTAGACTGAATGACCAATCATGGTGGGAAAAGTGGGGAGAACATTATGATGGAAGAGGATCTGTTGTCAAATGGTTATTTTTAATTATCCTTTCATATTAATTTTTGCTTTAATGATCTTCATGCCATTTCACGTTTCCATGTGCTATATGCCTTAGAATAGGTATATATAGGTTAAGATCCATTGACGTTGGCATAAAGCATAAAATGTTTTTTTCACCAAAAAAAAAGTGAAAATATTTCTTACAGCAATGAATTACTTCTGTGATGATAATTTTTTTTGGAAAATTTTTAATTTGATGGAAAGCTTCCATCATGTAGATCTAAGTAAACAAGTTCATTATCAATCAAAGATTATTTTGTATCTATTGATATGTCTTAATCTTCATATTATGTACTTTTAAAATCAGATAAAAAAGGGTCAGCATTTGATCCATAGTTATTATTGTTTTTTAAAGTCTGTTGCGTAAGTTTCAACTTGATAATTGCATTAAAGAATTCTTCTGTTGCTGACTCCTAGACAACTGGAATTTATAGCTGATTGTTTTAGGAGTGCAGGGGGTGTCCACTCTCCAATTTTTCATGTGGAGTTCACTTTTATATCAGTTATGATTGATAATCTCCTTCATGCATCCTCCTTCTGATTTATATAAGTTTTATTAATTCTCAGAGACTGATAAATGGGCTGAAACTGAGCTTGGGACAAAATGGGGAGACAAGTGGGAGGAGAGGATTCTTTATGGGCTTAGGTTCACGGCATGGGGAAACATGGCATGTATCTCCTGCTAACGAAACGTACGTTCTCATGATGATTTTAGTGATTTTAGTTTCTGTCTATCTCAATTTTTTTGCCTTCTCTCCATGTCATTAGCCCATATACCTCCATAGATAATCTGCGGGTCATGTTAGCTCATTTTTATTCCTAAACCTTAGCGCAAACACTTGTTCTCATCATGTACTTGATTTAGGGAGGTTATTCTGAGTTAGCTTTCTCCCCACCCTTTTTATATTCCCTCACAATTACATAATTCACGTTACAGCAATGTCGCATGGTGTATCTTCATGGTGAAGAGTTCCTCCAAGGAAACGAATCCTGATATTGAAGGACAGATTAAGTTTTGGCTATCTTCCTAATTTGGGTGTCCATTGACTGATAAAGTTAATCACCAAGATCTTGAGTTGTTTGGTTCAAACTGCTTACAGCTGTGAGTTTAGGATGGCATACTTTCAGTTTTGCTGTCAATCCATTGAAATGGATCGAAGGCAGTGACATAATTGGTCCTGTTCATAAAAACACTGGTCGCCCCCTATTTTTCCCATTCTAGTTTTGGTCGTCACCTTCATATGCAATGCATTGCCTTTACACTCCCACCTGCGTGTTCATGGACTCAGGAGCGCGAAATCGACCTTTTTTCTTTCCAAGTTGCTGATTTAATAGCAAAAAGTGGGGCTTCTCATTCTTTTACCATGTTTCATGTTATAAGCATTAGCAGCCATCAGAATACCTTGCTTGGTGTCTGGCTGGCTTCTTCTCTTTCTTTTTTCATCCTCTATGCGGCTGATCATGGCCATATTTGGTTTTAGCGTAACGTTAAATTTTGTTTTGGTGAATAGTATGATTTGTTTTCCTTCCTTTCATCAGGTTGGTCAAGACTTGGGGAGAAGAACACTTTGGAAACGGGTATGGATGGAATTATGTTATGGCCGATTGTTTTGCTAAATTACTTTTGATAACGGCTTCTTGCTGACTTGGACTAATATATCAAATCTATTAAGAACGTCTTGCCTCATATGACCTTAGGAAAAGCTACTCGTGGCACCATTCTACCAACTGATTAGGATTTTGCTTGTTTCAGGAAAGTCCATAAATATGGAAATAGTACAAACCGGTGAAAGCTGGGATCTTAGTTGTGGACGAGGAGGAAACTTATTACGAGTAAGATTACTGCTTTCCTAGCCTATAATCAATCTCTCGTATTTTGTTTTGAAGGAAATGAGCATACATCAAAAAAATATTAAGCTGTATAGTAAATCGTTGTAATTGGAATTTGATGATGTCTCTTTATGACGGGCTGAACCTCATATGGTTGGGCTGATGTGGTGGGGATTCAACTCAGTTACTTTCCATCGAGCCTCGAGAGAGGCCGCCTGGTGTCTTCCCCGATCTGGACTTCGGTTCACCCCACGTCATCTCAATCTGATGTCCCCCCTCAAGATTTGCCTCCTACAGACTAAGGAGCTGATTTTTGTGATCCATATTTTTATTTTATCATTGTCTTTAGAATGATAGAAAAGTCCCCCAACTGATGCTTGATTTGTAAAAATATAAGGAGCTGATTTTTGTGATCCATATTTTATATTTTATCATTGTCTTTAGAATGATAGAAAAGTCCCCAACTGATGCTTGATTTGTAAAATAATTGTATGCATCAATCATTTATTCATTCTTTCCATCTTTTTTTATTTATTATTTATTGGAAGGGTATTAGCATTGACTTTGGCATGCATGTGGTGTCAGGTTAGATGAGGAAATTGTAACGAGTGAATATTAAATGGGAAAAAAATATTTTCACAAGGCTCTTCTGAGATTTTAAAAATATATGGTACAGCTCAAGAGTATGGTTAAACTTTTTTGTCTTTTAATATCAAAGAAGGAATTTTTAGTATTTTTAATTTTATTGAATGACTTGAGATAAAAAATTCTTAAAAAATTTTCTCAAATGTTTTCCTTAAAATTAAAAGTAATAATCATTTCCAGCCCAACCAGTATAATTTACTCAGAAATTATTTTCAATTATTAAAAAAGAATACATAGTTTTGTAAAATTAAACCAGACTATATTATGGTCCTTGTTTTGAGAAATGAACAATAATTTAGGATGTTTGACACCTATTTTAAGAATAGTCTTCTGTCTTTTAGGATAAAAGGATAAAAAAATTTGTTTGATAATGTGTTTTTAAAAAGTGTTTTAAAAAAAAAAAAATAAAATATTATTTTAGATAACAGAAAAATGAAAATGATTTTTTAGTGTTATGAGATTTTGTTTTGAGAATAAGAGAGAATAAAGAACTCAAAACATATTTTACAAACATTAGTTCTTAAAATAATAAAATAAAACACTTTCAAATAGCCCTTATAATTTTCTCGTGGTTTTCTATACAAATATATGGAAGGTGATATTATATAATAGTGTTGTTAGAGTTGGGAATAAGGGCCAGGTTCGAAGGGTTGGGCTTAGAGGCCCTGTTTAAATAAGAGTTTAAACTTTAAAAATTATTTTTTTAAAGTAACCGAGTTTTAAAGCTTGGCCTTGATAAATTTTAAAAAAAAAAAAAAACTCAGGTAGCTCTTCAAGCCTGGCTATATTATTATTAATTATTTTTCTTTGATGGAACACATGTTTGAAGTCAAAAAGGACTTGCTCACTTGAAACACTTGATCCTACACTCATTATATTATTAATTTTAATTTATTTTAAAATTTATTTAATATATTTTTAATAAATATTAGTGTACAATATATAATTTATGATATTTTTTATTTTTCTATAATTATTATTTTGTGTATTTATAAAAAATAAATTATTTTTTAATTAAGATTTAAATTTTATTATTAAACTTCGAAATGTGGTGTTATTTAATTTAATAAGATTATAAAAATTTTAATTTTTTTAATTTTAAAATATTTTAATTAATTTATAGTGTTTAATTTTATTTTAATTTATTTTAATTTTTTAAAATAATGTTTGCTGGCCCGGTCTTAAATTCTTTAAATAAGAATTGAGCCTTAAAAATGAAATAAAAAATAAAAAAAAAAATTTAAAGACTCAAGCTCTTATGAATCAGACGCGTAAAGATTGAGTATGCTTATTTTTTAACTTTACGTGTAATAACTACATACACCAAGAAATAATTTTGAGGTCCCAATCAACCCAGTGGAATTGGGTTTTGGGCCTATAGTTAACAAGCCCCCACTAGGAGTGAGCATCAGACGACCCAAAAGCCCAAATCGAAGGACTAAAATGAGTTATGGAGGGTCACCGCTCTCTGTCTGCAGTGTAGGATTTGGAATTTTCAGGGATTACTTCGAAGACGGTCAATTTTTTCGCTCTGTTATTTCGACGGGGGAGCTGTGATGTATTCGCTGACAGTGAAACCCTTCGTACCTCAATTAGTTTCTACTTCTACTTCGTCTTCAACAATTCTTGTGTCCTTCCGAACTCGCTCAGCGTCATCAGTCAACTTTCCGAGAAACTTGAGGCATAATGGAAGATTGTTTTTGAGAGTTCAAGCATATAATTCCTCCGAAAACGACACTTCCAACAATTCAGGCGATTCCAAGTCCTCCAATGGCGCTCTGGTACCTCTTATCTACTGCTCTCGTCTTAATTCAATAAATGATATAAACGATAGAAGATGAATATTCCTTATTGCAAACCTCATTTACATTCCTTATACTTGCTTACCTGTATTGATATTTTATCTGTATTAGTGTTTCTTTCTTTAAATGGTGAAGCATAAATTGCAGTATTCTTATCGCCGGCCGTCCCTGACCACAACCTTAAGTCTTGATATTCGTTCAATGCGTGACGTGTCATTGTATATCCTTGCGAAAGCCGGCTTCTGCCACACCTTAATCTTGCTGGTTTTCAGTGTAGTGGTCTATTGGTAGTCCTTTCTCAGGCCGCTTCTTCCTAGTCCTTTGGGTATCTGTCACTTTCGTATACTGTTCCTTCCTAAGTCGCCATTTTCGCATTAGCTGGCTCTCCATGCAAGCATCTGTTGATCGAACTTGAGCTAACAGCAGAATCCTTCCAAAACTAACCTCCCTTGGGCGTCCAGGTGGCATTTTTCTCGTATTTTTCCTTAGGCCAACGCTTCCGTGAAGAAGGGCACTCAATGAAGCAAACAGTGACTACGATTTGAGATGAGAGGAGAGCCATCTAAAAAATTAGTTTTTCGGAGGGAGAGCTGCATGGCTTAAGTACACCTTAAGCCCGGATGTTTTCTCGATATACGGACATCTAAATTCCATAGATAATAAATTGATGTAGGGCTTATTAAAGATGTGCAATGTAGCTCTATCAATCTAATCTGACTTAAATGTTTAAAACTGGTGATATACCGTGTGCTAAGCATCATTTAAACATATGATGATATTGTGGATATAAATCGAGCCAACCACTTTGTAATATGATATCTTTTTCTACCAGTCACTTATTACTGGATTTAAATTGGGATGTCTTTGCCATTCAACTGTCCAATGTCCATTGTGGTAGTGGTCGATAAGAATGATAGTACTAATTCTGCTCACTATTTATTGTTTTCTCTTGATGCGTCATTTTAGAGAAAGTATCTATTTCTATGACTTTATCCGAAGAGGTCTCTGATTGTGTGCTTGATTATACTCCTTGAAATCAAAAGTCAAAGAGCAGGAGAGAGATCTTGCTGGAGTACGTTAAGAATGTGCAACCAGAATTTATGGAATTATTTTTGAAAAGAGCACCCCAACAGGTATGGTAGTGTCATGCTGGACAAATATTGTGCTAATTCCTGTTGATTGCCTCATAAAAGTTTCCATTGCCATTCACGCATGCGTTCTTGCTAATGAAACTTCCTATTTGGATTTAGGTAGTGGATGCAATGAGGCAAACTGTGACAATATGATTGGAACACTGCCCCCTCAATTTTTTGCTGTAACAGTTACCACTGTGAGTCCTTAAGGAGTTTATATGCTTGCTTAATTTTATTTTCTTGTTAATGTACATTCTATGGGATTTATCTTTGCTTGATGTATCAGCTCCTGAAACTTTGTCATGTCAATCTCTATGCCAGTCTAATTTGCACCACAATCTTTGGTATGGAATTTTTATGAAACTTCAGAAACCCATGATTTTGAAACAGACCACTGCTGCCAGTTGATTTTCCTCATTGCCTTCCCATCAAATGGTACTTATGGCTTGTCAAATAAATTATGGAGTATTTTGGAAGAGTTAGATCCCTTGCACTATACATTGCCCTAGCATTTTAAGAAATATTGTGTCAATTCACTACAATTAGCTACTCTGATGGAAGAGAAGAAGTACAATTTTTTTTTTTTTAAACACAAGGTGGCTCAAGTTGCAGAGCAATGTTGAGCCATGCAAATCGGGTAAACTGTCATTCCTTTTTTTCTTTGGGTGTTTATCTAAGCCTTTGTGTCTTGCTCATATTGGTGCAATTACTTGGCTTTTATTTAGGTGGCAGAGAATCTTGCACAGCTCATGTACAGTGTCATGATGACTGGATACATGTTCAGCAATGCTCAATATCGTTTGGAGCTGCAAGAAAGTTTGGAACAGGTTGCTCTTCCTGAAGTAAAGGATAAAAAGGTAAAATTATTTCTCTTCCTTCCCTTTTACCGGTGCCTTTACTAGCTACCTTGGTATATTATCATATATTGAGAGAAAATCTGAGGATATTAAATTTTCAAATGTGATGGGAGATTTTGTTTACAATAAATGGAGATTGAAATTCATAGGCTTTTTAAGTGGTAATGTCATGTCTACTTGAACATATCTTCATTTTGCTTCTAAGTTTGGACTTCATATGATGCTGTGAAGCCGCTAAGACATAGATGAGGAAAGAGATGTAGAAAGAATTTGCAGAATATTTTTATTCTGTATTGTGGAGAGAAGATTTCATTTGCATTATCAAAATTGTTCTGGTCAACCGTTGAAAATTAGTACTAAAATGTTCTGTTGAAAAATTAAATTCTAAATGAAAGTTTGTTCTGGCCACCATGGAAAAGCTTAATAAAGGTCTCCAATTTTCTGCTTTGAGGCTTTAGTTTTTACATTCTTTATATTTGTACTTGTAACTGTTGCAGGATATGCCAGACTATGCACCTGGTACCCAGAAAAATGTTTCTGGTGAAGTAATTCGGTGGAACAATGTTTCTGGTCCTGAGACAATGGATGCTAAAAAGTACATTGAAATACTTGAAGCGGAAATTGAGGAGCTGAATCGTCAAGTTGGTAGACAATCAAGTAATACCCAAAATGAATTATTGGAATATTTAAAATCTCTCGAGCCTCAGAATTTTAACTTTTCTTATTAGCATAAACTACTTCTCTTGCATTTAGTTTAGTTAAAGACTAGGTGTTGACTGATCAGAATATGTGATAGGTTAAAATATTGGTATATATGGTTTGTAGCCCAACTCCACTGGTACTAGTGATTTAAAAGTTTACAATTGAGCGGTTTGAGGTTAAACTGTTAGCGCAGTGACCCTGTATTCATAGGCTTTTCTATGGAACTCATTAAAATTTGCCCTATATTTTTAATTTTTTAATGAAATAACTAATTTCTTATGTATTGAAGATTTGGATTCCTCCCTTGGTCAATAAGAATCCCAAATTCAACATAGAACATGATATCCCTTACATTTTGCTCCTAGCTTCCTAATTTTCTTCTCATTTCCTATGCACTAGAGACCAAAAGTCCCCCATCACCCCAAATTTTCCACTCAGACAGAATCTTGTACCCCCAATTTGGCCATAAATTCTTAATATGAAATCTGCATAAGACTGAAATTTCTCTCTTAGCCAATCAAAACTTGAAATTTATTACATACCTATATCTTTCCTAAAATTTGCCTTCAAACAAAATTCCTAATTTTGTCCAAATTGCCTCATTACTGTATGAAATCTCTACTGTAGTTGAAACACTTTGGGGATCAAGTTTTCTGACGATCCAATTTGCAAATTTGAGCTATTCGGTATGAAACTTGGGTAAAATGGAGGAATCTCTGTGTTGCATGCTGTAGATGTGCTATTTTCCTTCAGGAGTTAATAGAATGTGATGAAACCCCAGCTCATGTTGATATTAAAATTGACAGTAATCTTGTCAAAGTGTAAGTCTAAGCAAGATAGGCTACAATTCTTCCAAAAGCAAAAGCTAACGCACAGAACACACAAGTGCACTGGTTCCCTAGCATTTGAGAGGCTAGAATCCCTCCCACGAGATAATACACAGATCATTATTTATGGGTCAAACGTCATGATTTCACAAGACACTATTGTGGGAATGATATACACCTCGAAATTCTTCCAAATTTCAAAGCCAAAAGTACCATAGTAGAATCAAGCCAAACCACAGGGTTCCAATTTTTTGCCTTATGTTTTATTCTAGTCACCGATCCATGCTGTTGTCTTCAAAGGGATCAATTCTGAACAACACAAGCTGATGCATAATTATCCAGATTGTTTTTTTTTCCCAAGCAATTCTTGAACCAGTACTGAACATTCTGAGCTTTTCTCTGGGAATGAAATGAAAGGTTAAAGGAAGATGATAATGAGGGAATAGCAAGTTATGCTCTTAACTCATCCATGTTTCCTCTTATCTTCAGAAATTTAGAAGCTCAGTTATTGAAATAGGTCAATATTAATGTGCCGTAATAATGCATTATTATATTCTGTAGGAGTTGACTAGCAGTGCTGGCGAGGACGTTATTCTTGCAATGAATACATTTATAAAGCGCTTGCTGGCCGTTTCAGATCCTAGCCAAATGAAGGTTTGCCTTCGCAGTTATTTTTTAATGACACTTAGTGATGAAATGACGTGATTTGGATCCCTTGCTCATCGAAGATTTGAACTGTCCAGATTGAACATGAATGGTTCAGATTTTATTTTAATAAAATCGTAATATTTTATTATGTTACAGGAGTAAAATGTTAAATAAAGGTATAATGTTCTGAGATATGACATTAAAAATTTGTTTAAACTTAAAAATTAAAATTTTAAAAAAATAAAGCTGGACTAGGATTAGTATGCAGTGTTGGGATGAACACCAAAATCCCGGTCTTGAAATGATAGGCCACAATTATATTTCCTGAAATTGTTGGAGTGATTTATGTATTCTATGCGATACTTTGTGAGTTTGTGTTGGGTGTATGAACACGAATTCTATTTGCTTGCTTTTACTATAATTGTTACCATTTTTGGGATAAATTGTATAACCCTAAATTCTGGTTTTAGACTAGCGTGACTGAGGCAAGTGCACCTGAACTTGCAAAACTACTCTATTGGTTGATGGTGGTGGGGTATAGCATCCGCAATATAGAAGTTCGTTATGACATGGAACGAGTACTTGGTACTCCTCCGAAGCTGGCAGAATTGCCGCCAGGTGAAAACGTTTAGGCATCTTAATATTCTTGGAGCCAAACAACACAGTAAAGTTGTCGCCAAGCTCGAGCCCAATGAATGGCTTTTAGATTTGCACTTCGCTAAAGGCTCAGGATATTCGCTATGGAGGAAAGTGCTGGGTTTTTCTGGAGCCCTGAACAATTGACCATCTATTTTATTAGACGTTTCATCGTTAAAATTTTGTTTGATCCTTCAGAGTTTAATTAATTATTATTGGTTATCTCAAATTTTTCATGAATAATCAAATATGCAGGAATGTCGTTAAAGCTGCTCAAACCTATTGTTGTAAACCTAATATTTGTCATGAGGATTGGATTTATATGCATACGAAGATAGTAATCCGTTAGCTATGTGGCTGGATCCTTGTAATATTACCATTGATCATCTAGATTCTAGACAGTATTATTGCTATCAGTTTCCAATATTATTTCTAAATCAGGATTAGGATTGTAATTTTTCACCAGAGCAAATCATGTTCACTTTTGTTTAACTATAATTTGATATTTTTTTCGCACTTCTATGTATTACTTATGTAATAATAAAATGTTATTTACTGTTTATTAAAAGTAAAATGTTAGAACTGTTTAATTATAATACTTTGATAAATAATTTGATAGCTTAAAAAACAAAAAAAAAGTATGAAAATTAATTAGTTATACTATACCAAGTCACTTTATGCACATCATACTTGAAAGGGGATCGGATTGGCCAATCCAAGTATTCGAGTGAGCTGGTATTTCAACAAATTGAATGGATTCGAGGCCGAGAAGAATGACAAATGAAAGTGGGGAACAACACTGTCAAGCTGAAGAAAAGGGAAGAGAAAGAACTAAAGAGTGAGCAAGAAGATCAGGAGGAAGATTAAAAAGAAAAATAATCATTCTCCCTTGTTAAAGGCCATTATTAACTTGCTCTATAAGGAGGACAAGACAGAAAATAGATTAATTTTGTTTGAAGTTTTTTAATTTAAGATCGGATGCACCATATCATTTGTGGTATATCTAATGAAAATACTCCAAGTAATCTAAATTAAATTTTGTGTAATATTTTTTTAATTGATTTTATTTTTATAACAAAATGTATATTTAATTTCTTGCCTTTTTTCTCTTTATTATTATTAATATCAAAATAATTTATATTTAATGTTATCTAAATGTCATGTTTTTATTGAATAGATCACAAATGACGTGATATATCTAATTTACTTAAATATTTCTTTCAATGTTATTAGTGTGTTCCCACAGTCAAGTTGGTTATTTTCCTACTATTACAGATTTTTAAGGGTTATTTTCATTATTTCAATTGAAATCCTAACCTATAAATATCCTGGCTACTTTATAAGCTAGACATGATATTGAGAAATAAAAATACCTTTCTTTCATTTGGGGATTATCCCCTTGTCGGGTATTGATAATTATATAAAGTGAGATTCTTATTATAATATTTTTGATGGAATTTCTTGTTTTTCTTTAAACTTTTTGAGTACTTGCTACTTTGGTATCAGAGAATTGTTCAAGATTTTGGTACCAGAGCCTTTTTCAAAATGGTGGGTATTTGATTCAAATTGGTCTATTTGCCAAAGTACTAACTATATTATATATGTAATTATATATATATATATATATATAGTTAGTAGCAAGTGCATTTACCCATGTCACTACCAACACATTCTATGACTTAGGAAAGTAGCAGGAATAGGTGTGAGGAGCGCCTCAGAAATTTTGAATTGGCTCTGATATCAAAATAGCAAGTATTCGAATGCTTAAAGAAAAACGGGGAAAACATTCTATTAAGAAAATTAAAGTAAGAATCTCAATTTTAATAATTTCAATAGCCCACAAGAGGAGAATCTCCATATGAAAGAAAGGTATTTTTATTTCTCAATATCATGTCCAGTATATAAAACAAGGATATTTATAGAATAGGGTATCAACTGAAATAATGAAAATAATTCCTAAAAATCTGCAACAGTAAGAAAACAACAAACTTTACTGTTGAACCAACTAACAATCTTGAGGGTCCTTATTTTTCTGAACTGACACCTAGATTGACTCAACAAAATAACAGAATAAATTCAAAAACGTTAAACAGAAAATTAATCTATTTTCTGCCATGTCCTTCCAGAACAAGTCAACAATAGTCTCTTAACACTGGTCCCGACATTGTATTTGTATGCACCATTGTTGAATGCTAGTGGTCAATGGAAAAGAAAAAGAAACAGTCATTATTAAGTGATTATTAGAGAAGTATAAATATCTCACATTATTGTACAATGGAAAGGATAACCTTTCCATAGTGCTGATCAAACAGGCCTTGGTGATTTATTCACCGACCAAAGTGTTCAGATATAGTATACATCAACTGCGGTATCAGGCAAAACTTGTCTCCAAGTGCTTCCCAATGCTGAACCCCCAGCATATTTATAGTGTACACGATGTAGTCCAATTCCCAGGTTGAACAGCATAATGCACCTTTTACTTGGTAGATCATATCAGCACTTTGTCACGAGAGTTTGCATGTAGCCTGTTGCCAATTGACAGAACCATGAAGACTAAAAATTCCAATCCTCTTGAAGAATCAACCACCAGCCACAAGATGAAGCTCCGAATAACACACTCCGAACAAGCCAGTAGCGACTCTGGGATGCTAGAGGCGCATTACCAAAAATCGCATTAGAGAATCCGGACACAGCAGTCAGCAGCACCCTGCTAAACTATTCTGAGTCTTCTAGCCCAGAGGCTTTGATCAGCTGACCAACACATGGGGAACCCAGCTATGGCACACCATCGTAAATTCAAAAGGGCAACAGCAAAGTTCTCTTTGGACTCTTTAAAAAATTCAAGTATCCTTGACTCGACAGCCAAATCTTCGGCAAGGATGAATTCATTCACTAATTTTCTCTTCTCTTCATCTATGTCACCATGGCCACCTAACATAAGCATACTTAAAACCTGCAATGCTTGAATTGCTGTGTTGTGAAAACCAGAGTCTACATACGCACAGAAGACAGAGCTGCAAGTTGTTGGATCGGGCAGAATTCCCTCTCGGTGCATACACTCCACAAGGAACTCAATAACATCAATCCTTCCCTAATTCATGGAACAAGTTTTTAGATTTTTTTTTTTTAAAGAAAATGGTCATCACATGAGAAAACACAAATGGTTGATCCATCAACGAAGTAAGAAAGCACAATAAAGACCCAACCACTTTTCCTCCTAAATACCAGGGTCTTAGTTCCTACAAACAAAACAAACGGAGAATATAATTGCTATTTAACATGCAATATTTGCAATGTGTAATGTATATGCAATTTCTTTATCTCATATGATATAGACACTAGGAATAGATTTCTCTCTTTTGTCCACTTCCCATGCATAAAGATATCAATGTGTAATATGAAGTACCTTATCACATGCTTTTCTAAGAATTGTATTGAACACTAGCACATCAAGTTTCACACCATCCGATCTCATAAGATCCAGAAGATTCAAGGCTTCATTGAAGTTCTCGTCTTTCAACAGAACCTGACAAAAACAAGCATACCGTTAAGTTGACCACAAAAAGGCTACAAAATTGAACATGATATATTGTAATAATGGTGCCATGGAAACTCATTAACAATATATCAAGTTATCAACCCTTGCACATGAGTAATACAACAAAAAAGAGATATGCATCAATTATAAGCCACCTTCCTTGGCCTTGCTAATAAGAAAACGCTCCTTTTGCTGATATATTACCACCTCAGGGAAAGATAAGCTAAAATGGACAACAAGGAAGACATAAGCCAATGAAGGATCACCCAAAAGAACCCCCAAACTTTTTCTTGGGTAAACCTGGATCAGAGAAGAAGGCTTGATTTGGCCAGTAAGAACACTTAACATTTAATAAATATGCATATTCAAACTTCATGTAACTTAAAGCAGTCCGAAATTATATTCTGGTTGGAAGTATGGGCAAAAGGTGAGTATGTCCACTGAATTTAAGGAAATTTCTCCTTATTTAAGGTTTCGACCCCAAAAAAAGGGAACTTTGAGGCAATATATGAATTTTGCTGTCATATAGGATATTTGGTTGGAGTGGAATACTTGTATCTGAGTGCACCTCCCCGTTTCCTATCCATGGATGTTATTGGTTAGAATCAAGTGTGCGGCTTCCCTCCGGTGTTTCAGCTGAGAGCTCTGTTAAGGGAGTCTTCCTATTGGAAATGCAGAGAAATAGGCGGCATTACCATATACAGTGCTTTTGTATTCCTTTTATACATATCTTCCTGTCTTGATTCCAGCATGTTAGTTTAATTTGTCCTCGCACCTCAAGGTCAGCCAAAAGAAGTTACATGTCACTCAAGAGAACCACAATTAGACTCCCAAAATATCATTTTAATATAAAGCCATGCATTACCAAAAAGTGTTGGTCCTAGTAAAAAGGGCTATAATTACTTAAGCACGAAGTCTCGGGTTCAAGTCCGCATGTATGCAAAAAACATCTTTGAAATAACTACCTTGCATTAGGCTTGATAATGCCTGAATCTAACCTAGTCAAATAATCATATAAAAAAAGGATAATATAACTTTTAATTCCTAAACTCTCTCAATTGTTGATTTAGTCCTTGAATTTTGACTCAATTCTTGTAATTTAGAGTCAAGGAATTATAATGATTAAATTGTATCGAGTCAAAAAATATAAGGATTGAATTGTTCTAAGTCAAGAAACTATAGAGACTGAGTTGTCACGAGTTAAATTTTAAGAACTAAAACATATATTTTCCCCAAAAAATCATGAATTTTTAAATAGTAAAATCCATTTATTATGCAAGGAATACGCACATAATATAAAATCTATGTACCAGTTGTTATGTACAGAATTTTTTTGCTTTTGATAACAACTTGGGGAATCATCAAAGGTGCCTAGACTTGGAGATTAGAAAGTCTTGGGGTAGAGAATCCCATTAGATCCTCAAACAAAATGTGTCTAAGCCCAGCAGGCAGGCTGTCTGAGAATTGTTATGTTCAGAATTTGAATGATCATAGTTTGGAGAAATAAGATAACATCAAATAATTACAATTGACACTTGTAGATTGACAGTACTGCTTTAAAAATAGAACCGTATTGCTCACTCTTTCTGAGATGAATCATGTGCAATGGAAGAAACTTCAACAACAACAACAACGATGATGATGATGATGATTTGGAACGCAATATCAGAGAGAGAACAGAAGAACCTTAATCAGAGCAGTATAAGTTGGAGTGTTTGGATAAAACCCTTCACGTATCATAATTGAAACCAGCAAAGAAGCAGATCTGAAACACCCTGGTATGCTGCAACAATCAATCATTATATTAAATGTCGCAGGACTAAGCTGGAAGCCATATAACTTCATCTTCTTGAAAATTGCAATTGCCATGTGACTCTGTATATCAAGTAGAAACATCAATTTCCAGCAACACAAACTAACGAGGTACCTACTTCTGAAAATACCAGTTGAAATAAAGAAAATATAATACAAAGAATCACATACTTCTTCGGCTACAACAAGAGATTGTAACACTATATTGTAAATAGCTGTTCCCAAAGTAGGGTCTTTATGAATGAAAAGATTCTCTGCCACATGTAAGTATTGGGTCATCTCTCTTATCATTCCTTCTTCTCCAAGGGCCCTCAACTGGAAGAAAATTAAAGAGGACGCAGCCAAGTCACAAAGAACATGAAATGTACAATCAGAACTGCCCTTTTTTACCCAAGAGAACTTTTGAGAGAACTTCAATATATAATAGCATCATAATAGGATTTTTCATAAATATGCTCCCACATGCAAGTTTTTTTCTTTCCTTTGTGTGTGTGTGGAGGAACGCTATTACTCTCTCTAGACCACAACATAAATCTCTCTTTTTGTACCACAATATAAGTCATTGTTACCTAACTTACGTTTCTAAAAAAATGATTAAAATCTAGATTTTCTAAAAATTTTCACATCTTTCCAATCGTGCTCCTTGAGTGAAATAAATATAACATTTGATTTATTCAAAACACCTTCATGAATTACTCAATCAAGTAGGGGTATAATTGGAATATATATATATATATATATATATATCACCTACCCCCAATACCCTATATTTTGGGCCAAGCAAAGCTTATGGGAAACAACTTATATTGTGGTTCAAAAGGAGTGTTGTGCAAAATAGGGGAAAAATTTAGCATGATGTTATCACATAAAAGGACTACAGAATTTAAACTTTGGTAATTAGGACTGCTTTACACATTGTCGCCTTAAAGTCATCCCAAAATATTTACATTACATTCACCCAATCAATAACCTTTAACAACTAACATCAGTTTTACATAGACCCCGGCAAAAGGAAAGCTTCATAAATTTGAACTATCCTTAATTTAAATGGAAAACGGCAACTTAGAATTGGAATTTACCAAGCTTTTCAATGAACGATAACTGTGGTGAATGTCATTTTTGACCATATCACTTTCTATAGCATTGATTCTTTTAGCGGCTTCTACCTGTGATATCATATTGCCCTTTTCATATGGGGGATTTACGTTGGTAAACAATTTAAACAATAACTCATATGTCCTGATATTAGGTGCAATATTCATCTGTTTCATCTTGGCCAAGACCCGCACAGCACGTTCAGGTTTGTTCTGCAAATTTGATAGGAAGGATAAAAAAGAAACTTTTAGAAACTCCTCATTGCAAGACAAGTGAAAACTCAACTACAAGATACAACAAATATTCCAGATATATATTTAGGTAATAAAAAAATCTGTTGCCACGGTCACAAAAAGGTATCCATTTGTTTATGGTTTCCATTATTAGATTAAGCGTAGTTAAAGAAAAGGAAAAGCATCAACACTAGCAATAGCCACCAGCAAAAAATTTCATAAAAATACTAGGCTAGCTAAAGGACAGGTTTCAGCTTTCTAGTACCTGAATTTTAGCATTGCTAACAGAAAGCACAAAATTACATTTGAGTTCCAAAGTTTCATAGTTGAACTCACCATTTTGTCACACAATGCAAGGAGAGCATTGAAAGGGTATGGACGTCGACATTTAGAAATCTGATACAGCAAAGCCTCCGCCAAATCTAGTTCTAGTGCCTTACTGCAACTTACTGAAAGTGTTGTGAGAGTTGAATCATATGGCTTCAATTTTTTCTGCCTCAGTATTTTTAACTGAAAATAAAAATAAAAAAACAGAATGTAAGAACAAGAAAATCTCTAGTAAAAACAGATAATATAAACCATAAATTGAAACTGGTGTCAAATTAAAAATCTCAATTTCAAGATATTTGGGTGCTTGTGACCAGAAAGAAGTAACATTAAGTGGCCAAATTTTCTGCTTGAAACTTCATCTTCACCCTCTTCCCTCCAGCAAACATAATAAAATAGAAAATCAAGCCTGGAGGTAATGATGTGACAAGCAGGCCATTTTCTAACCATTTCCAAGCCTTCCCTGAAACCTCTTTCAGAAACAGCAGCTCTGATAAAGCCATCATATGTATAGCTGGATGGCTGCAACCCAAGATTTTGCATCTGGACAGAAAAGACTTTGTTACATTATATGATGCAGATTTAACAAAAGTTGGCAGTCGATAAAATTCTCCTGCTCTATTCTGAGCAAGCATGAGAGTATTATATGCAATATAAGCAAGAAAAAAAGAATGCAAATTGACAAAGCAATATTGTTTCCAGACGCTTTCATTGAGACATAAAATAAGTATGTGAAAGCAATATTTTACAAAATATGACATGGATACAAGGTCAGGGAGAATAATTGTTTAATACAGGTACCGCAATACATAATCCATCACAGACACTGACAAACTTAGTTAGCATGGCACCTGCAGAATAAGCTGCTCTGCAAGAGCATAGTTTTGACCTTGTGCACATGCATGCATTACATCATTAAAGGACCGCCTCAAGACCTTCATAATTGGTTCTGGATATTCTTGTCCATTAAGCCTACACATTCCAACACTCTTGGCTTCTATGCTTGCAGAATCAACATCTGATGAGTGTTCAAGCAGAGGGCGCATACAAGGGTCAACTTGTTTATTCTCCTTCATATCCAATATGGTTGAACCTAGCTCTCCTTTTAAAGGTATAGGGATGTCCAATCTAGTAGAATACAACTTCTCATTAACCTCATTTTTCCTTTTGTGTTTGGTGGAAAATTTCCCATCATCTTTGCTATCATAAATGTCTCCGTTGTTGGCTAAGGAAACCATTCGTTGCAAAGCCTTAAATGCAGAAGTTAAATCTCCCAACCTTCTAAATGACCATATAAATTCCCGCAGAGCAATGATGCTAATACTATAGTGCTTAACATACTCCTTCCAAATTTGATGAACTGCAGACAAGTTTTTCCGCAGAACTGCAAGCTGAGAAACAGGATTAGATAAATTATCTACTTCTCATAAAAAAAATCAATTCAACATATTGAAATTATTCAAGCATTGTTTAAATAATATCTCAAGCAATAAATTAATCTGTTTATATAGTACCTGATTCCACTACCATTTGCTAACATGTCAAAAGTTGACAATGCGCACGTCACATTCTATTGGAATCTTATTCTATAACTACAATCCCAAACTCTAAATTATTGTATTATTGAAATATGAAAAAAAGAAAAGCAAAAACCATTTTGATGAAATAAACATGAACGGAAAGACATGTCCTTAGACCCTCTATCCCACTCTCTCTACCAGACAAAGGCATGAATAAAAAAAATTACTGACAACAAAAAGATGACAAGCCTTGTTCCATTTATAGACTTAAGGGATATGGTTTCTAATGGACCTCAAGTTACTGAGCATAAGCTTTAAGGCCCACACGGTGATATGGTAGTTCTATTTAAAGACTTAAGGGACGTGGTTTTCTAATGGACCTCAAGTTACTAAGCATAAGCTTTTAAGGGCCACACTTAATATGCTAGTTAGATAAACTCAATGATGTAAATCACTTGAAAAAAAATCTTATGTTGTAAGATTATTAGTAACTGAATGCTTAAATTTGATGCAAATCAGCAAATGAATATTGAAATGCATAATTGAAAAAAAGGAGGATAACATCCAAAAACTACTCAAGCAAATTATTCCTAAATAAGGATTAATACAGAATAAATTGTTGTTAAAATGGGAACATGACTTGTTTTTTTCCGAATGGAACTTGTTCTTAATCCTTATCTGTAAATAATTTGCTTGAGTAGTCCTTGGATGTGATTCTCCCTAAACAAAATTACAAGAACCATGACTATAAGAAAACATATAAATGTTGAAAACTAAGAGAAATTACCGGGATATCTACATACCAATTACTATAGGAAAAACAAGAATAGAGCCCAGATTGCCACAAAACAAAATTTGTCAAAAATAATTATCATTGTTAACAATGAGAAAGGTTTTTTTTTTCTCTTTAAGAAAGAAGAAAAATAATCATGGCTAATTTTGGGGATAGGTTATAACTTAAAATGATTACAATGACTTATATTATTGTCTTAGCAATTTATGCAACAATGAAACCCTAACTCCTAGTGCTCCAAAGTGAAAATTCACCTGATGAAATAATACCTTGTTACAACAGAAAACTAACCAAAAACCGGCTCTGACAGGAACAATAATATGTTGCATCTTGCGATGTGGTCATTAGCATTCACAAGAACAGGCTGATATGAAGTAATTCATTATTGACACGCATGTTCACAAATGAAAGCACTGGCAGACTTTGTACATCACAACTTGGACAGAGGTATACAAACAGGAAGAAAAGAAAAATTACAGGTTGCTAAACTAGAACAATAGTAACCTATCCTCTACAAAATCAATAATAGAATAATGATACAAGAATTTTCTATAGACAAACCTTAAGAAGCAGTGTGTACGTGACTTCATTGTTTCCAACCATGTGCTTTTCCATCAAGTCCAAACATTTGCTTGCATGAGTTATACTCTGCATTTTTGTGCAGCCTTTTAAGAAACTATTGTACAAAGAAAGAACTGGATAGAACTGCTGGGTTTCTCTAAGAAAATTCATCATGTTAAAGGCCTGGACAAGGAACAACAAGAATGCATGAGATAAATAAATATAACCAAAAAGAAAGAGTGATGGAGTCCAACATCAAGGAGCCATAAGTAATTCATGTTGCGCTTGTGGTTCTGCTTAAGTTTCAATGAATTGGTATTAGGACCAGACCCATCTACACAGAAACGGCTACTTGCAGAAGGTACAACCTGGTCAACCCTTGAGAAAGATGCAACATGAAGTTAAAAAGCTGCCTGCTGAAGTGAGCACTCTAGAACTTTGCCGCCTTCCCCATAGGTTGACCACATCTCAGCTTCTACAGTAGCTCTTTTCTTGGAGGTCAATCTAGCTCTAATACCAATTGATGGAGACTTAAGCAAGAGTTGAAAAAAACAATAGTTGGCCGTAAAAGGGGAAAAGACACGGATCATAAGTACCACATAAATCACTTCTAATTCCTTGACGTATGACTAAATAAAGGATAAAGTGAATGTACACTCAAGATTATATAATCTAAGTTTTAAGGTTAATATTTTACCTCCTCCAAGTAACCCCCTCTACAGAGGGCTTGCATCATAAGAGATGAGCATTTATGATTAAAGCTAATATCTCTTGCCTCCATTAATCTCCAAATCTCCATTACAAACTGCAGGAAATAAATGACAGGGAATGAATTTCATAACAGCAAAATATTCCACCATAACTTATGATCAAAATATTAGTGATGGTTGGTATCTCAAATCAATAAAATTGCTTTAGAAAACCGTTCGCTCCTTTATATTCTAGCACAAGTAAACAAACAGTGGTAATTTGCTAATAGCAACTGAACCATGCAAGTATGATTTGTTTTCTCATAGGATTGTTCAGATTAGTCAATAATGCATTACAAATGCAGTTAATGGTTAACCCATCGCAGAGAGAGCCGCTCAGTCAAGATATACCAATTCATTGAATTATATATAACTGAACTGCAGCTTGAATCACCAAGTCCCTTCAAACTTTTGAAGTTCCAACTCTTGCAACAAATTTCAACAAGAGCAATTATTTATTGGATAGCCAAGAAATCTTTTGACGAAATAAATAAAGGCCAAACCATAAACTTCTTGCATCAATTTGAGATTTACAGACAAATTTGGTTTCAATGAAAAATACCATGGATTCAGCATACCAATGGATCAGGTGACCGGGCACAGTAGTTCATAATATCAACAAAATCATCAGCTCTTAATGAGTGGCTTCCGTAACCAAATTCTAAAAGTAGGTTAGAAGCCCTCCTCCTCTCGCCCAAGCGGAGCGCATCAATGATTTGCATTTGCATAACCCTGGTAGTTGATCCTGCTCCAGGTTCCACAAAATCAATACCTGCATTTTAATCAGCACTGCCAGTCCGTAAGGGAGAACTTGATAGGAAAGTAAACATGCTGCTTGGAGTTTGTGAGTCTAAAAACAAAATAAAAATAATAAACGGCGATCCTAGCGTGTGAATTCAAAACAAGACCATTTATAAATGAACAAGGTATGAGAAAATCATTAAGAGGAATGTGTGTGTGGGTGAGGAACCGCAGCTGATTAGACGTCACATTAGATTTATCCACGTAACTATCGGCATGAATGGTTTACAAGTAATTACTTCGTGTTGTGCTGAAAGTTCGTTGAATACACAGCTCTCAGTAAGTTCATCTCCCTAGAAAAACACAAATCATAAGAAGAGAAGCTTGTAGAAAGGAATCTACATTATAAATTCATAATCGTCACTGCAACAATGTGGAGCTCGCTAAAAACAGCCATTGACACGAGATTACATAAAAATAAGGCCAAGATGAATACATATTGATGCCACTTGGATTTGCAAAGGGACTCAGCAGTTGACCGCAGAGCAACCCTTGCTCTGAAAGCATGCATGCTTGCAGGACTATCTCCCTAAAGCTTCAGCTCGTTCTGCGCTATCCAGGCAGGCTCAAGCAGTTTCGAATTTGGATCCGATGAAGAAGCCGGGTCTCCAAGCCCACCCTTGGTCGGCTGAAGGCTGGAAGCCCGTGATCTGGAATGGAGGGATGCTTGGGCTTAAGCGAAAACCCTGATCGAGCATCTTTTACTTTGAAAAAGGGTGGGGATTGAAAGGAGGGGGGGGGGGATCACTCTTGAAGTAAATTATTAATTAATTACATTTAATTATGATAAAAATAAATATATTTTTTCTTGAAAAAAATCCAATTTACTAATTAACGAATCAACTTGCTTAAAACGTGGATATGCATGTTAAGCTGAAGCGACTTACTTTGAGTTATTTTCACCATGTTTTAGCAGAATTTAAAAAATCTTAAATTTCATTAATCCTTTATAAAAATTCAATAAGTTTTTAGTTTTATTATATTAAATGTTTATAGTTTAAAAATAAAATGCACCCACATTTAATAATTTTTTTAACATTTAATAAAAGCAAAAAACAAATATGAACATAATAATAATAGAGGTGTTCTATAACTAGTAATCTTTTTATATTTTTTCCCATAATCATACCGAATATTTGAATGCAGTGTGCATTTGGGTTCTATCTAAGGTCCAATTTCCTTTCTCTCTCTGTTAAATAAAATTCGAAAAGCTATTTCTCAGAAATTAAATTTTAACCAATAAAACGTACATCTTTTTCAAACATAAGAGACAAGAGATACCATATTAATATCAAAATTATCTCATCTACACTTGTATTACTGGCGCGCACTTGTCATTTGGTACTGGTCAAAGAGTAAAAAATAAATAAATTATTTCACCCATTTAGTTTCATTTTATGAACCGTACGATCAGTCAAACAATTGGATGAGTTTGGACTGCACGCATTGCAGATTTGCAGTCACTTGCCAACGGCGGAACAATCCCCGTCCCTCCGGGGACATCACAAGAGAAATTTGACAAACTAGCCTTAGTCCACTACAGCATCGGGGGAGCTTCTTATCAGAACAAAACATACATCTTCCATTATCTTTGTCCGCTCCGAGACTATGATCTTGTATAGAGCTGGTAAAAAAGGCCGGCTCGACCCTGTAGGGCCGACCCTTGAAAGGCTCGGGCTTAAAAGGGCTAACCCTTTTAAGCCTGAGTTCCCTTTAGGACCCTAATATTTGAAGTCTGGCTTTTGACATAGTGGGCTCAGGACCGGCCTGTGGGCTTTAGGCCCTTTTAATTATTTTTATTTTTTTAAAAATTTTTTAATCAAATAAAAAATTACTTCATTTTAATATAATACTCAATCAAGAAAGGTACAAAAAAAAACTAACTAAATAACGTCTAAATGAACTAAAAACACAAATAAAATAATAGCAATGTAATAAGTAATGGATCGGCTGAGCCGACAAACACCCAATCAAAATTAGAAGAGTAAATGTTGAACTGAATGAATCATTATAATGGATCTAAATGAATTAGGGGATTTAAGGTTGTATTTTTTTTAGAAAATAGTAGCCAAGGATTTCTCTATGAAATTAATATCAATTAAGAATCAATTGTTGTCAAAACCTGAATGAAAAACAAGCTATAATGAACTATTGTTAATTTAAAATGAGTTATTATTAAAATCTAAATGAATACTTATTAATAAAGGTTAACTCAAATCCACAAGTATCTACTCGAATTTTGATAACAAGTGATCCTTGATTGATATAATTTTTGATCAGTGATTCTTCATTGCTATTTTTCCTTCTTTTTTTTTGCCTTCCATCCTCAGTAAATATGGGCTAATATGTGATGTGTAGTAAGATTTAGTTTAATTTTTTTTTAAATCTAAAAAGGGTGAAAATTATGAGAATTAATTAAAAAAATACATATACGAGCTTAAATGGGCTGGCCCTCAGCCCTGCAGGGCTGACCCTTTTAAGCCCTAAATTAAACGGGCTTAAATGGGTCGGCCCGTTTAAGCCCGATTTACCATTTTACAGTTCTGTTTACAAATCCGACCCTACTCTTATACGGGCTTAAACGAACTAACCCGACGGACTCAACTCATTTTTCCGCCCCTAATCTTGTAATTTATAATGCCCTTCTAGTCTTCTTGCCAACGAAGTGCCACATAGCCATCTTTATAGCGGATGACTCGTTCGGTGCCAAAGCTTCCTCGGTCGCGACTGCAAATATCGCACCTTTCTCACCTGTGATGACATCCCCAAGACCCCATCATAAACATTTGGAGAATTAGCAACATCAACGAGAGTCCTCAAACCCTTGAGAGGCTGTATCACTGTCCGCGACTGGACTACCTTGCTACAAAGAAATGCTAGTTTTACCACCGCACCTGACGGCTCGGTTTTCAACGTTTCCTATCAATTATTTTCCGATCCACCGTCAGCCACGGCTGTCGGCCGTGAATTCCGCCCCCGCGGATACCATAAGCATTTCTAGCGAACTCTCCTTCTCGCCGTCGAGGACGGCGAAGGAGGGCCATCCAAACGAGCTTTATTCCCTTCACAACCACCGCTATGACTTCACGCCTCTCCTTCGTTTTCTCTCCAGTTCGTCCTCTGACTTGGAGGGCTCTACTCCCACGTCACTTGACCCGACTGAGTTCCAACTCGCTCAATCTTACCGGGCGGTTCCAGCTCCACTCTGGCGCTCAATCCTCAAATCTCTATGTTCCTCCTCCTCCTCTATCGGATTAGCATGTGCTCTTGTATCCTGGCTCCACAAGCACAACCTCTGCTACTCCTACGAGCTTCTTTATTCCATTCTTATTCACGCGCTCGGCCGATCCGAGAAGCTTTACGAGGCCTTCCTGCTTTCTCAGAGGCAATCTCTCACCCCTTTGACCTACAATGCCTTAATTGCTGCTTGTGCGCGAAACTGTGACCTTGAAAAGGCTCTCAATTTGATGTCCAGGATGCGTGCCGATGGTTACCAACCAGATTCTGTGAATTACAGTTCCATAATTCAGTCTCTCATTCGCTCCAACCGAATAGATTCCCCCATATTGCAGAAGCTTTATAGGGAGATTGAAAGCGATAGTGTTGAGCTTGACGGACATCTTCTGAATGATATAATCCTGGGTTTCTCAAAAGCTGGGGATCCTACCTTGGCCATGCACTTTCTAGCTATGGCTCAGGGTAATGGCTTAAGCGCCAAATCCGCAACTCTTAATGCTGTTATATTAGCACTCGGAAATTTGGGCAGAACGGAGGAAGCCGAAGCTCTCTTCGAGGAAATTAAAGAGAGTGGTTTGGAACCTAGAACACGGGCGTACAATGCACTTCTAAAAGGATACGTGAAAACTGGTTGCTTGAAAGATGCAGAATTCATCGTATCTGAAATGGAGAAGGGTGGAATTCGGCCAGACGAGCGTACGTACAGCCTTTTAATTGATGCATATGTTCATGCAGGCAGATGGGAAAGTGCTAGAATTGTGTTGAAAGAAATGAAATCCAGCAATTTAGAGCCCAATTCCTACATTTATAGTAGGATTTTAGCAGGTTATCGTGACAAAGGGGAGTGGCAAAAATCATTTCAAGTCCTGAGAGAGATGAAGAACAGTGGAATACAACCTGATAGGCATTTTTACAATGTGATGATCGATACTTTTGGGAAATATAATTGTCTGGATCACGCAATTACAACCTTTGAACAGATGATGTCAGAGGGGATTCAACCTGACACTGTTACATGGAATACGCTGATAGATTGTCATTGCAAGGCGGGGCGCCATGATAAAGCAGAGTTGCTGTTCAGGGAAATGCAGGAGAGTGGTTACTTGCCCTGCGTCATGACTTATAACATCATGATTAATTCCATGGGGCAACAGGAGAGATGGGACCAAGTAGGTAACTTACTGGACAGAATGCAGAGTCAGGGAATTCTGCCCAATGTAGTAACATACACTACCCTCGTTGATATATATGGGAAGTCAGGAAGATTTAGTGACGCAATAGACTGTATAAAGGTCATGAAATCTTCAGGGTTCAAACCAACTGCAACCATGTATAATGCCTTAATCAACGCTTATGCGCAGAGGGTATGCTATCATTGACACTAAAAGTTTTACCATTTCATTTCTTTGTTACTCTGTATGTTGCATACATTAAGCAACAATTTCCATGATATGCAGGGTTTGTCTGAACTAGCAGTTAATGCATTCAGGGTGATGACGGCAGAGGGATTAGCACCCAGTCTTTTAGCTCTCAATTCATTGATTAATGCATTTGGTGAAGATAGAAGGGATGCCGAAGCCTTTGCTGTACTACAATACATGAAAGAAAATGTGTGTTGATTTTATATTTTAATTTTCCTTCTCCGTCTGGCCTAAAGTGTTCTTAAGGCGTTCAAAATTGCAATGTTTTGGCTTGTTCATATATAATCATTCATGCTACTCTACTCATCCTTTTGTTGATATGAACTGCAGAACTTGCGACCTGATGTGGTTACATATACTACACTTATGAAAGCTTTGATTCGTGCTGACAAGTTCCACAAGGTACATCATGGCATGATCATTTGGCCTCTCTTCTATGACACTATTAATTTTGTTTGTTCTGGCATATCATTAATGAATGTTGCCCTTGTTTGTTTTATCGCGGGCATCTTTTTACATTTCATGTGTAAAGATATTGTAATCCCTATGAGTTGTCAACCTACTAGTAAACTTATTTACCAAAGTAACAAACTTTCAAGTTTCAACTCTGCAATCTATGTTGAATCTACTCTTTTGTCCTTTTTGTCCTTTTGTCCTTTGACACATAAGCATCTTTTGTGACATGTTATCGTAATATGGATGAGAGGGTGATTTTTCATAAAAGAAAAGAAATAGAACGCTGAAAAGTGCATGCTTTTTATAAGCATCTTTGTGCCCCAGTAGCTGACCAATTTAATTTCTCAAATATGTTTCATTGTTTGGGTTTTAGGTTCCTGCCGTGTATGAAGAAATGACAATGTCCGGGTGCAATCCAGATAGAAAAGCTAGAGGAATGCTGCGATCTGCCCTTAAATACATGAAGCAAACACTGAAATCATAGCGATGAAACATATACATACAGCCAGAGTATAGTAGATTTTGCTCACTTGTTCTGCTTTGTCACATCATTCTGAGGTTAGTGCTGACTTCCATCCTCTCTGCTTGCGGCTACATGCTGTGCATGTAGTTAATACGGTTTTAGCTTAAGGGAATCATCCGCTTGGACATTTGATATTTTGCATGATTTGTATGCTCAACCATGAAATCACACATTATAGTGAAAGCTTGATAAGTCTTTTTCAAGGAAATTGATGTTGTAATCATTGAAAAATATCGGCTTTTCCCCGTGGCTCTCATTTTCAATTATATGCAGATTTTCTGTATTTCTTGATTTAGTGCTTAGACCTAGCCGTTCTTCTCTAGTTTATTCGTTTTGTCAACTCAAAGCACGTTTTCTAAAGTCAAGGAAATACTCTTGCTGTTATAACCAGTTGTGATTGTGTGATGGCTTTTATGGAAAGTGGCAGTAAGTCCCATGGCGGATAATTTTGAGACATTAGAATGGTGACTTGTGTCTGTCTGTGTCTCTGTCGCTCCCAACCTCTCTCATGGAGTATTGAGTTCGGAAAAAATATGGATTGGAAATGACTGAATTAACAACTTGATCCTAAATTTTCAGGTTTATTGCACTTCGAATCCTAAAAATCAATCAGGGTATGAGTTAACCGTTGAAATTAACAAACCTGTTGTACTAATTTAGAAATTCTGCACTAGTAATTTTTCTTGGATTTTCAGGTTTATTTTGGGAAGTTATTTGGTTACGAAGTACAAAATATTATGAATTTTTATTGTCGTGTCTTGCCTAAAAATTCCTCCTTGTTTTTTCTTTCGGGGGCACAGAGGGCGTTGTCGACATGGCTCATACTCTGCAATAAAGGCAACGTTGCCGAAGTGCGAAGTTCAGTCAAAATGCCAAGAGAGGAAGTCCTCGGCTGCACTTTTCCTCCATCCTACTCCTTGAAATGAAACATGAACGATAGATCCCTAGGTTTTTATGATAACTGCGGCAACGAATTAGAAACCGGTGTACTCCTCAGTTCTTGCTATCAACACTATAAATTTATTACAATGTAAGTAAACTTTCCATGTTACATTTGCATATTTCTGTGTTCGGAATTGGGATAAAAGTCTTCTGAGTGTTATGACGTATAATACTATTGTTTTTTGCATTGGTGGTGGTATCATGAGCTGAAACATCCCGTCCATTTAGAAACCAAAAATCATCGCTAATACTAAATTTCACAATTTGTGCACGACTAGCAATCACATCCATGGCATTATACCGATTCCTTTGTTATACCAATTCCTGGGTTGGAGACAATAAAGAATCAAATTATGAAATGTTTCTTAGTAATACAGACGATTGTTTTTCAAAATTGGATATACAGTTCAAGCTGCGCCCTACATACAAATGATAAATTTAGAGGGGCGCAGCTGAAACAATTGGTCTACTGTACTTGCTTTTTGAAATTCTGGAACAGAACATGAACATTAGCAAAACTGAAGATAACAAGAAGAGCCTAAAATATGTTCTTATCTCTTGCATTCCAAGTTCAATCACCTCCATTTTCTTGTCATATCTATTTCTCCTCTCCACCAAATACCCATCTAAATATTCATCTATTGATACCCACTTATCCAACTTGGATATGGATGCATTTGAATGGATTTCACTGAGCCGGAAAGGCCCCAATTTGAAAATCGTAAAGAATGCCGCTGACCAATCATTGAGGACTCTCTGAAATTCAAATTGACAACATAAAGAATTAGAGCCATAGTTTTTTTTTTTGGGTTAGTTTTTACATATTTAAAACGATTCTTTCCTTCTCCATTTATTTAAGCTCCGATTAAATGTAACTCTTGTGATAAAAGTTCAAGGAAAGCACAGTAAAATTTAGAAAGAATTCTGAGAAGTTCTAAGCCACGTAACTTACGCTGTAGCTAAAGCCGTCAGTGGGATTAAACATTCTAAAACAGTCTTTTGATGAGGCTGTTCCGTCTCCATATATCTGCCCCTCCAAAGGGAAAAAAAAAAACGTAAGAAACAACAAAGATTTACTAAAACTTGGAGGAACGGTTGCAGCGGACAAACCTCAAATGTAAAAGCCATGGGGACCCTCACAATGTCATGCATAAAATCTGTCGCTGTCCCATGAGCCAAATACCTGTCATTATGATTGAGGTTAGGGAAAGCAAGTGCTTTAGAGGAAACTTAGTTACAGAATCTGAAAAACTTCATTAACTAACTCTGACGACCCTGAATGGAGTATCTCCAGTACAAGAACATTCAGAGGAACAAGACGACTCACTAACGAACTCCTGCTGTATAAATTGCAACCCAGAACTCACATAACTGTGGAAGATATAACTGACACCATAGCACAAACCGGGCCACAACAAAGAAAGGTCAAGTACCGGACTAGCTGACACATGATGGACAAAATTTGACTAGTTCATGTGATAACCAACCCTTGTTGCTGACCAAGATGCTCTTCCCCACTATCTTAACTTGGGCCGTTTCTTTTTCCCACTGTGAGTGAGTATAGGTAGCTGAGATGGTCTCTTATCACATCAAGGCAGTTACTTGAGGAAGGAGAGACAATTAAATAGTAGAACTGTAAGCAATAACTGATGCCTCAGCATCAGCAAACTTGAGGGACTGCAGTAGAATATGTATTTATTATTTTTAAAATCTACAGCTTACATTCTGAAACTTTTGGCTCTGTAAAAACATGGTGCTGACCTACCAGCATTAACTTAAGATTATCCAGGGCATAGGAATTTTTTCCAATAGTCACCCCCTTTTTTTCCCTTTCCCATTCAAGCTTTCAGTCTCACTTTTGATTTGCCCCCACTATATCCACATCTCACCAGTCAATTATTGTTTACCTTATTAGGGGAGTGGCGCGGGATGCGGGAGTATTTGCTTCTCCATTTATTCTTCCACCCGTTCCCCTTCTTTGCTACAAGTTTAGCTAGAAACGAAGATACTACATATGAGTTGCAACTTACAAGGGGTAAATGCATTTCAAAAATGAAAACCCAGTGCCTCCCAAGCTTTTATCTACTACCAAGTATCTACCACGTTGCAGCTTTCTGATGGAATCAGTTCCTAATACGTATTATTGAATCAACAAAAACCTCCAGAGTGTAGGTCCATTGGAGGAATACACTAGTCACATCAGAAAAACAACCCTCTCCTATGCATTTGAGAGGCATAGGCTCTCCCAGACAGCAACTAGAATCTTTTCTGCCTCTCCCTTCTAACCAACCCCTTTTACAACCCACGCTCTATCTTTTCTCTAACATCCAAGCACAAAATACCTCAATTACCCTTTTCTAAATTCTTGAGCGTCTTCCTAACATCAGTCAACCGAGGCCCATGCCCATCATTTTCATATGGCCTTATGTTTTCCCCGAAATTTAGTGGGACAAAACTAGGGTGTTTACTATAAAGTTATTCAAAATAATAAAAGGGAGAAATGCAAAAGCCAATGGATCTGCAAATAATCCCTCAAACTTCAAAAGAAGCAGACAAGATAGTAAAGAGATTGCAGACCCCATGCCCGAGAGTTGCATCTAAATTTTGTTCTATGTCGTACTTGTAACATTCTTGAATTCTCGTCTACCAAAAAACAAATAAAAAAAAATTCTCAAATCCTTGTTCTAGGCCTAAAACAATCAAGTAACTCTATCAATGCTTAATTCAATTTTGGCCTAGGAGACCTCTTATGCACCCACTAATTATAGATGCCAATTTTTCAACAAAGACTAAACCCTAGGTTTTATATTGGACAACGACACACAGAATATAATTTACATAAATATAGAAAAATGCAATAGTCAGTTTTCCTCCACTCATTATTCACCAAAATAAGCGCGAACCAAAGACAGAAAACAAAACAGATATGTTAAACACAATATTTTGATCAAGCTAAATTTCTGTACTTATCATATATTATTCCAATAAAACTCAACTAACCCAACAGAACCACCACCGGACCCAATCATGCAACGATTTTGGCAATGAAGATGGTTTACTTCTTCAAGCAATAACTTCATCCGTTGTGACAGCAATCCATTAGGGGTTGTATTTTTATGATCGTATGGCATAAAAAGAGCCTGAAGAGGGAGAGAAATTATGTAAGTTAACACAGCGAAGAAAGAAATAACTGAAATATAACCAATGTAACCTAACCATACATGCATATGCATGCACAATATAAAAGAAAACACATCTTATTAAACTTGACCATTACCACAGCCAATATATAGCATTGAATAAAACTTTTTCTATCTTCACTTTCAGTTCATGTCCTATCATGGGCCCAAGATTAAGGTAATCTATTTCAGAAAGGATAGACAGATAGGTGCAGAACAGGGAAGCAGTTAAAGAGTTACCTATTTTCGAACAGTTATGCATTTTGGGTCAGTGGACGTGTTGTGGTTTGAAGGGGTTAGTTGTAGTGTTTTGACTATGGGGATCTCATAATGAAAAGGAAAAAGAGGGGTAAAAAAATATTTGGGAGGCTCCTAGTTTGCTGAATGATAATAGAACTTGTAGTGTTCATATAATCATATTCTACTAGAGGACATTGTTCAGTATAAATATCTTGTTACCGTTCTGCTTTTGATCATCCTAAGATAGATGTCTCAGTAACAAATGGCAATAACCAATCTGATATCCTAAAATGAACAGCAGCAATAAAGCAACAACAATAATAAGCACTGGTGCAGTAAATCTATAACAGAGTTATTAAATAACGTACTGTCCATTGTGTAAGCCTATCATAAATATTTAGATTAAACTTCCTTCACTAACAGCGAAGAAGATTATGCAATATTTTGTATTTCACTCAGAATTTTCAGTCTAGTAAAAAGATTAAAACTTGATGGAGTGTAAGGCACAACTTTTATTCCAGTTGAAATCTAATGCGTTTCAAAGACATGAACAGAAATTACCTCCATTCCAGAGTGCACATTAATCCATATGTGTGGATCAAATGATATGGCAAGCTTCCGAACAATTTGAGTTTCAGGCTCGCTAAAAGGAGAAGCTCCAGGATTCTCCTCATATGGATCATAATCCTATTGATTAAGGTAATGACAATGAGAAAGAGAAACAAGAAAAATAAGAAATTTTCATCAGGTAAACTTCTATGTGCCACAAGATGCGGTATCAGAATTCACAAGCCATAAATTTACAAGATGCAGGTGAAAAATATACTATAAAAGTGCCATGAAATTAATTAAATGATAAAATTTTGATGAGGAATTGGGAGAAAAATGATTAACCTTCTCTTTTTTGCCCCAATCTACACTCCAATTTCGGTTGAGATCAACTCCTCTGCCTGCCATATGGTACAGATTGAAGCTTTTCAATTGAATCTAGTGAATTAATACTACTAAAGATGCTAAAAACAAATGCCAGACCATTTCTTCTCTCACAGAGATCTCCTGATTCAACAAGTTTGCGGCCATTCAAGTTTTCCATTGGAATCACCTGATAAAAAAAAAAATAAGACATCAACAATATTTCGGGATACCATTCTCTACCAAACTAGTTATGGAACAAACAAAACCTACGATTTAATTACAAAAATATCTAGCTCAGACAATTTTTTTTCTTCATTAACTTTGGGATAAAATGAAAGCTAACCAGGAAAAACTCAACAAAAATTGTCACAAGAAATACTTAAGCATAACAATATATAAGTATAAAAAATAATAATGGGGTCATGATTTCCAAAGGTAAAAATACTGACAATTCTCTATGACTTCACTATTTAGATCAAAGCTACCTAAAATCTTAGTGAGGAATATATTTGTAAATTCAATCTCTATGATAGCCTGTGAAGGAAATTTGGAAAGAATTGGCTTGATGGAGGCTGGAGGATCAATATTAGCGTTGCAATAGACATGATGTTTCAAATGAACATTTTCTGAACGACATTGTAACAACAGTTGTTCTTATCAGAGACTAAGTGAACAAAGTGGCAGCCATAGCAAGTGCTTTGGAACGTAATCAGGACTTTTGTAAAACATTCAAGTGCAACATAAAAAAATGCAAAAAGCAGCCAGAAGAATTCTTTGCCAAAATTTTTCTTCCCATAATGTGGAGTCCCACAAAGGCACACTTTTAGGGACTTTGAAGTTTGAAACCATATCTAACCATTACCACAATTACAACAGGTCAAGCTCTCCTAGAAAAGGTTTCACAGCCAAGTTAATTAAAAATTGTCCCAGTAATTTATTATCTTAATGTGCATCTGAAAGTAATCAATCGCATTTCTGGCAATATTTTGACTTGCCTTTATTACAAGCTTGTCAAGTGTACTATTCAAGGAAGCTTGATCCATGCTGGGTAGAAATCGTTCTTCACTAAGAATTGACAAAATCCTTAGAGCAAGTTCTGAAGTAATCAGCTCCCTTCCATGCTGCCCAAAACTCTGGAAGACAAGGAATCATCTGTCAAAAACACCAGAATAACCAATTTGAGATAACTATCCACTACATGTCAAATTACAGTTTTCAAAGCATGATACTTTGTCTTCACTCTTTACAATCACAATATTACAACATCCCCCCCCCCCGCCCTCTCTCGTTAAGCCATTCAATGGTAGAGAAAAAGGCTGAGCCTTGACATGCAATTATTCATGATTTAATGACTTGCAAGTAAAATTTTATGCTAATAATATTATTAATGTAGAAAACTTACCATAAGGATCCTAAATTTAGACCGCTCATGATTCTCTCTCTTGCCTTTGCAATAAGTAACAACCGTGACCTCAGCACTATAGCCCTTATTTCTAGCTTTATGCGTCTCCATCTGTTTCAGAACATCAAGATCGGAATTTGGATATCAGCAAGTTAGACATCATATAACAGTCTAAATACATTACAGCAACCCACAGTGAGTTTATCTGGGTGACGATGGACCAAAGCCTTAATCTCTTCCATCAAATCGCCACTGCAAGATGCCACCAAAGGGATCATGAAACAAATGAACATTAATTTAAATAATATAAAATAAAAGAGCTATAGGGAGTGACATTGTTCATAGTTTATGCAGCTCCTATTGGACTTGGTGCAGTTTTTCTTATCCTTCCAATATTTTTCTGCACATTTTGGTGAAGTTTAAATGTTAGAAGAATGGGTACAATTTCTAAAATTTTTAAAGTCTTTATCCATCTTGTGCTTCAACAAGGAAAAAAATATCTATTTTTATGAGAGAAAAAAAAGGCTCTGGGAATGGCATGGACCAAGTATTAGAGTAACATATGCAACTACTAGAAAGGATCCAGAAGGCTCTCACGCCGAATGAGAACCTAACAAATAAAGATAAGGAATATGCACCCTATAAAAATTTAATCCAGCGAGATGGTAGCGGACTAGCTTACCAAAAAGTACGTGACGGGTGTGCACATAGGACATATAATAACACCAAATGACACAATAGAGCATTAGCTTCCCTCACTCCACAAATTATCTTCAATAACCATCCATCATCTAACCTTAATGCAATCAGCTCATATCTCTGATTCAAATATCATCAATACTGGTCTTCTTTCTTGATTTCACAACCCCCCCCCCTTAGCATTCTCATCCTTTCTACATGCCTACACCTACTTTCAAACCTGTGGTTGCTTAACAACCAAGCAGACCTACCGTAGTGGTGAAGTATACATTATACAACAGAGCTGAAGGATATTGTTTTGCGTCTTTGATAGCCACCACGCAATGAGATGATTCAAGATACTGAATGTGGGAAGGATAGAAACTTTACATAAAGCGAGACAAAAAGAGATTAAGTCAGCTTAAAAGAGGAAAATCCGAGAAAGCCTCCTTCTCCATATATCACCACATAGTGAACTAAAGCTAACCTTAAATGTTCAAGCTATAAATTATAAGTTTTATATAAGGAAACCTGAAACCCAAAAGAGGAAACAAGAATAAAAAAATTTATCACCGATCTCTGTGATTCACGTAAGATTTACAGTTTTTTCTTTTGGGATAAAAATTTAAAGTTGTGAAATTCGAAACTTCCAAATCGACGCCAACATAAGAGATTCAGGAGAAAAGACGAAGCACAAGCACGGATAAACCGTGCGGGAAATTAGGATGTACAGGAATGACACGAGGATTCAAAAGGAGTCACCTAGAATGGTAGAGATCGTAGTTGATTGGCGTAGAGGAAGGTTGAGTGAGATTGTCAGTTTCGCCATTTGCACCGACGGGAACTTGCGAAAGAACGCAAAAACAGATGTTGATTGCAAACCAAAAAGATGAGAGAGAAAAGAGATCACCCATGCTGAGACCAAGACTAGCGACGGAAATCTCTTGTTTTCGTCTACCGAGTCCCGAGTTATGTCCAGAGAATAACTGGGTCAGGGATTTCCTCATCCATGTTTGGACCAGTTGGAGAATATATGACGGTGGAGAGAGAATGTGATGAACCTGGCAGCTTTTCTGCGAAATTTTCCACGTTCAACGGTCTTGGTGGACCGCGGTTTACATATTCTTTTTCCTTTTAAGTTTTATTCAAAGTCGCATCCGTTTGAGTATTTCACAGCGCCTATGTATGTATTTAAAAACTTAAATTTTAAAAACATAATCCAAGCTCAGTGTAAATATGTATAATTATAAACTCCCTTGGATGCTGGCTGATGTCGTGGTATTTACTATTATTATTTATAATTAGTATTGTTTTTATAATACATGAATCAATGAAAGTATATAATAAACCAGGAGTAATAGTGCTAGTAATTGTTGTTATTGTTACAATTATTTTTGTTGGAACTAACGATGTTTTTCAGTTTTTGTTTGCATTACAGTGAATTTTACTATAAATATCATATAATATATTGACGACCATGATACTTTTGAAAGTTTAAAATCAACATATAAAATTTATTGAAATAGTTACTATTGTAAAGTACAAGTATGTGATTTTTTTAAAACTCAAAATAATTTTTATTGGATATTAATAATTAATAAATCTTGTAAAATCAATTATAAATTCAATTCTAAAATTAATTATGATTTTTATTTATTTTAATATAAATGTCTTTTTTTATGGCAATTTGGATTTGTCTTTGGATGCAAGTAGATGTGTTTTCTAGTGCATTGGTCCTAAAAATATGCTACATTATTTATGATTCCCGATGCCTTGCAATAATTTTTCGTATGTTGATATGTTATTTTTCTTCTTACTTTTCACCAGTTATAAATTAAACACATTTACTGTGTATTTTTAGTGTATTTTATATTGATAGTTTAGAATGTTAATTTGTTTTGAGTTATTGGAAATTGAGTACAGCATTGACGTGTGAGTGTACGGAATGTTAAAACATTTCCTTGTTCAGCGGTTCGTTACTCATGTTAGCAAGAAAAATTTATGCCACATAGGTTTTTTTCTTTTCTTTTCTTTTCTTTTTTTTTTTTGGCCAAGCCTTGTAGTTTCTTTGACCTAGTCTTTTCTCTCTCTACGGTTTTTTGTTTTATTCAGCCTGTCAAACATAATAACTTAGGCTAATTTAGACTACAGTCGTTAAAGTCGTCAACAGTGGTTAAATCATGTGTTTTCTTGTCTGATTCTTACTTGTCGAGTTGGATTGAGATTTTTATTTTATTTTATTAATTTATTAATATGACTTGTCTAACTCCAATAATAAGTAGACTAGCTTGTGTAAGCTCATGCACCTAGCATGTTAAGAGTTGGTTTATGAGTGGTGCAATTATATGTTAAGGTAAATGATAATTGAGGAGCTTCTAAAAATATCATAATAAAATGATCAAGATGTTTAGCTAGAATTTTTTTCTCCTGATTTGATTTTGAGTGCCCAACTTTCATTTTTTATTATTCATTTTTAATATTTTAAGTATATTTTTTATTATCCTCACATTAAAATTAATTCTACTCAAAACATTATTGGGTATTAAATGTTATCACTTTTCTTAACAAAAATTTGAATCTTGATTTAATATATTGTAAAGGATGAATCCATTTTGCTATATCCAAGTTTCGTGGGTTAAGTATACATTTTTTTAGCGTTGAAGATATTTACCATGGGTGTTGAAAAGATTAAAATTGAATATCAACAACCCTGTAAACATAAGTATTGAAAAATAAAGTTGATTATACAGGAAACTTTTGAAGACAAGTAATAAAAAACAACTTTGAAAATAATTTCGTTTCATCCAGGAATCCAAGTCGAAGATTGAAATTTCCAAATCTGCGTTTTTAATTGTAAGTTTGTAACTGACGATTACAAAACATCTTCGGACGTCATTTTGTTTATATGTTTAAGGATGTGGCGTCATGTGTGGGTATGCCTTAGCGGTCAGTTGGAACTTGTTTTTTGCAGGGAAAAAAAAATCATTTGACTGAAAGATGTATGAGGATGAAGTCTCAACAAATGACTTAAGTGTAAAGCTCGAAAAATAATCAAAGTATGCTGCTAAACATTCGGGTGGACAAAAAAATGAAGCAACTGCCAAAGCTCATTCTCGAATGGGTTCAAACTAGTCGTCCACAAAATAAAACGCACATTAATAAGAAAAATAATAATATTCATAACAACGATGGAGGGACTTTAAGTTTAAGGTCTCTAGCAAATCCTAGATCCAATTCCCCCCCAAAATTATTTGGAATGTCTCAATCATGTTTATGGGTTCCCTGACTAAAAAAAAAAAATTATGGAGGATGAAGAGAAATGCATAAAAGACCTGAATGACCTAAGTGAAGTTATATTTCAAGGTACGCAGAAAATGTACTTGATTTTTATGGATATCATTTTGAACGTTAAAAGCCTCTCATAATAATAACTGGAATTTGGGCTATGAAAAGAAGAACATTATTAATAGGGACTTCCGACATTCAAAAGGACACTTGCTGCAAACAAGGGGAATTTTTATTGTTTCCCTGAGAACATAATTTCAATTGGGGTCTAGTGAATTTGCAGAAAAAAATTTAGATTTTATTGAGCTTTCTCCGCAATTTTCTTTCTTGGGAGAACCTTAAATATGCAATTCTCCCTCGTCTTTGTGGGAAACATCTGGCAACCATGGCGGTCATGCCTATCACGTTTTTTATCCTGTGATTAGGTATCCAAGTGACTTGTATTCATGTGAAGCTTGGATTGATATCAATTCTCGCTGACTTGATGGTATTGAATAACGAATACATAAAATGTTGGGAGCAGCTCACACGTTGCTCTCCGTCTTTCGTTCAGTGTTGCCCCCTGGTGTGTACAACCAATTACACGGCGATAAAAAAACTTCACCAGCCTGGTTCGCCCGTAACAATTAGGTTTGGCCATGGCTGTTTGGCAGTTGTGAGAATTATTATTTGCACCAGTGCTGCACAAATGATAGACTAGATAGGACACAACTTCTATCTAACTCAAAGCTTGATATCTTTTATAAAAAAGATTGAATTAGACGACTCCTAATTTAATATGATTCATGCTTAATTCAAAGTTGAATAAGATCAGGTTTGATATATAGAAATATAGAACAAGAAAACTAATCTCAGCAATTCAGCAACTTACTTTGTTTTTTCTTTTTTTTCTATGAATGATAACAATTCATTTCAATATAATAAATTTAATTAAGATAAAAATTATTTATAATTATATAAAATTTATCACAAGACATTAAAAGCTAATCACGATTAAATCAAAAAGGAAAAAATTGATTTTGGTCAATGTTCGAAGTTTGTTTGATATTTATAACTTCACAAAAATAAAACACAGAAAATTTTCCACCAGGTTGAGAGTAAACTAATACAATAGAAATATAAAAATAATTAAATCATGAAAATTATAGCCATAATTAAATATATAAAAAATTCCAATAAAATCCAGTGTAACAAATCACGAAACTTTAGTATAAAAATTAACTATACCCAATCAAACTTAACAGTAGCCCCCTAAACATGTTCATAAAGACACGGAAATGGGGGAAAAAATCTTAATAACAGGACAAAATTTAAAAACAGCGTCGAAGGAAAAAAGTCAAGGAAATAGTACAAGGCCATTTCACAACAAGCAATTATATTAAAAATAGTTATAATTATATTAAAGTAATTTTATAAAACCAAATCAAATCAAGTGATCTAAAAGCTTAATTTTCTAACTAATCCATCTTAAAATAGAAGTTTAATCTCATTAATTTTTTGAATCCTAATCTTAATTCACACCATTGGACCCAGTGGCGAACCTAAGTATAATTGAGAGTGGGCAAGTGCCTGCAATCAGCTTGAAAAAATTAACAAGAGGTGAAAATTTTAAAAATTTGTCCCCATTATTTTAATAGTTTTGAACCCACTAAACTCAAACTAAAGTATATTTGAGTTTAAAAAAAATTTAAATTTTTTATATTTCACTCAAGTTCAAAATGTTTTAAATTTTAGTACATTATATTTAAATTTAGATTATTTTTATAAAAATATTATTTTAATTTTTCCTTTCCTAATGTTATTTTACAAAACTAAATATTTATTTTATAAATACTAAATTATTTTTTTTATTTTTAAGTTTTATTTAATTATGTCCCTGTTAACTCAAGATCCTGTGTCTACCACTGGTTGGACCAGGATGTAGAGGATAGGAGGACCTTTGTACCAACCCCAATTCACACTGCGTTACTCCCACTGTGTTGTTTGGCATGCTTGGCTTTTTGAGCTGAATCTTGAAAATACCTAGGGTCATTTAAATGCTGAAAAAAATTAAAATTAAATGGATTAAATAAATAAAAAATATTATGATGATGTATAATCATGTTCATAAAAGAAAATAATAATTTAATTTATAAAGTTGATGATCATGTGACATTGGACTTCATCACGATTATCATGAGAGGATGAAAATTTAATTATTTTCCTCATCCATTTTACTTTTCATCATTCCCAGCAACTAAAATAAACGATTCCTTGATTTAGGATGCAACTGCTATATTCTCCAAGGGAGCATGCATGATTCCCTCACTTTAAGAGTGTATTTGGTTGGAAGAGATGGGAGGGGCTTCCCGATTTGGTTAGGAGGAGGGGAGGGAAAATTTTTAAAATTTTCCCTCCCCTGCCCTCCCCTCCAATTTGGGGAGGAGCTCCCCTCCTCTCCCTTTCCTTTAAACTAAACATACCTTAATTGAGTTTTCCATACACAGATGAAAGCAAGCCTTTCAAGGTGCTAATGTATCACAATTATGCCAAGTAACCAAGCAATGAGCATAAAGAGCAACGATAACGTGTAGTGGGTGAAATACTGAAATCAATTGTGACCAACATTTGACAGCAAAGGGAGGACTATCATGAGGCAGAGCTTGTTCCCATGATTTTTTTGACCCTGAAGACGTTGTTTCCTTGTTAGAAGTTGAGACCTGATTCCCTATTTAGTACGTTGGAAATAACTTTAACAAGATTGAAAATGGACAAACAGATGGATATAGAAGTAAAGATGAATATAGAATTTAAAAATATGTTTAATATAGTCATAGAATTAAGGTGTTATTTTTGTGAGAAAACATAATCATTGATTTTTACAGTTTTATCAAATTTTACTTTTAATCTCTACAGTATTTTTTAGTGTTTTCAGTCTTTGTAAGGACTAAACACACTAAAACTATAGGGATATGAGTAACAAACATCACCTGATCGTGTTGAAACTGTGAGAACTAAAAATACTAAAAAACTACAGGCTAAAAGCAAAATCTGATGAAACTCTAGAGATCGATGATTATTTTTTTTTATTTAATATTAGTATTTATAATATAGGAAAACTAATATGCCCTTGTCCCAACAAAAATTGCTCTAACCCAAATATTAAAATCACCATGAACCACTGTTGCTTGAACTTGCGGCAACTATGTAAAAGCACAAAAACCATTAACTACTACCGTTGAAGCTTGCAATGATTATAAAGCATTGTAAAGGGGAAAAACAATAAATTTTTTTATAGTTTAAAAAGGAATCACACAATGAGTTTAAGGTGACCTCAATCCTGAAGCTGCCAATTGAAAATGTGGATGCTTTTGGGAGAGCAACAATGGAGAAGCATCTTCTATGATTACTCTATGTTTTTACCTTTTTTTTTTAACCAATTTGGTGTTTTTAGCCCTCATTTTCTAAAGGAAGGCAAAGCAAACCCATTGTCACTCACTCTTCTTTCTCCTTTCCTACTTTTCTGTCTTACTTTCTTCCTTGGTATTGGCTTTTTCATTGAATCACCTCCATTGTTGAACTTAGATGCAATGGTTCCAAAAGGAAGAACTTGAAAAGAATCTTGCCTCCACAAAGAATCCACAGCCCTTTCACAATTTATCTACAAATTGTGCTCATCATCATTGGCTTAGTAGTTGCAGTTGCAGTTGTCATTGTTGGGTTGATGCTCACTGTTAGGTGAGCTAGTGCTTGTTAGTTAATGCTCGCTAGAGCAAAGGGCCAGGTGGAGGAAGTAGCATAATGGAGAGTATGAGGTGAAAAGGCAAGTGAAATTACAAAATTGAACTTTTGTCATGGGAATCAATTCCATCATTTTTGATGGAATTGAAATTGAAAAATTTTTAAATTCTATCATACCAAACAAATATTTTTTTAATTTAATTTTTATATCCATATCTACCCTTTTTATTTTCACCATACCAAATGAACCTTGAGTGGTTTTCACAAAATCAAACACGCACGACATGATGCAATAATGGGATGATAGATGATCACGATAACAATGTTTTTTCTTTTGGATTTAAATTTTTCAAACTTGAGATTGATAAATTTATATGATTTTTTAAAATATTTTTTGCTCACTTTATTATATTTATAAAATCTTATATCTCATTTTTTAAATAGAAAACTTAACATAAATTTATCAATTTGAATTTCAAATAATTTAAATTATTTTTCTTTTTTTACTTGAGTGAGTTCACCTCTGGATGCAACATTTCTTCTCTCAGCTACTCAAGGCTACTGAATTTTTTTCCGCCAAGAAGATGTTTTTTTTTTCTAGAAAAAAGATGTTTTTCTTATATTATAATGCTATGAATTTAGATGTGCTTGTTCTGGTTCTGCATCTAGGCCCTTGCTTTTTTGTTGGCCAGCAATTTAGACATTGTTATTATTGGGACAGGGCTATTTTTCTATTTTGATATCTTCACATTTCCGTTTATTTTTGCTTTCTCACTCTTTTTCTTTTTGTAAAAAAAAAAAAAAAGGAAGAAGAAAATACTGATCAAACGGTGGCGTTGTCTTACCAAATCTAAAACCCTAATCGTCCATTCCCATCTCTCCTGTCCCTTCGTCACTTCCAGGCGCCACTTCGACTCTGCCCTGCCGTTGCGGTCTCCTTCACGTCTGCTCTCGCGTGCGTTCGCCTCTCCTGTCCTCACTTTCCGTTCTACAGTTGCATCGAGCGCTCGGCTGATTTCCAGCCTTCAACTGTCCTCTCTGTTTCGGCATCTTACGCGTTGACGGTGAGCATTCTCCATCTTTCTTTTAAACTACAGTTCCCAATCGATAGTAATGAATCTCGAAGCTATATTGAAACACGAGTAATGCTTTAGAGAAATGTTATCTGCATGAAAACATGGTCCATTGAAATTCGGAGCGGGTTTTTCTGCCCTAGTGGTTTGCCTTCCGTTGGGTAAGAAAAGTTCATGGGGTTAACGGAGGCTGATTAGGGTTTTGCGCAGAGTTGTGAAAAGGGAAGCCATGAGCAGGAGCCTGGGAATACCAGTGAAGCTACTTCACGAGGCTTCCGGTCATGTGGTCACCGTTGAGCTGAAGAGTGGAGAACTCTACAGAGGAAGTATGATCGAGTGTGAAGACAACTGGAATTGTCAACTTGAGAACATTACCTACACTGCCAAGGTACTTTTTATTTGCATTAATTCCACTTCTGTAAAAGTCACCCATGTACGTTTGATGGGAGGCTAAAAATTCATGAATGTTTAGTTCTTGTATTTTCTTGAAAAATTGAGGGCTTGGGTTTTTGATCAGCTGATTTTGATTTAAGTTGTAAAATTCATTTAAAGTTTCCTGAACACTACGGGGTGCCATCTATTAAGAAAATGCGAAGCAGAGACATGCACACTACCTTAGAAAGAGTGTTGTTTAGGGTAGGAGGTGATTGAAAGATCATAAGCTGTTTTCACTTTCCTACTCAAGACTCTTATCTCTCACTACGCTGTTTAGCAAAGCTCACTCAATCACCACGCAAGCTGCTGCCTGACGAAGCTCTTTAGTTTCCCTTAATTCCTTGCTAAGCCAAGGTCCTAGGTCTCCTGACCGGCCTGTGCTATTTCTACGAATTCTACGCCTGTGTATCAGGCCTGACAGGCCTTTTCTTTCAGCTTTCTCCTCAGTAGTTGCCATTAATTGTGGCAGTCCGCCAGTCCCTTATGCTTACTCTATTCTATAAATCCAATCCATCCGGCTATAGCCCTCCTGTTATGAGTTTCATATCAGCAATATAATTGGTTTCCTTCTTGAGGCTTGTGAGCAATCTCCGCTTGTGTCTGCAAGCATGAAAACTTGATTGATACATTATGGACGAGAGATATTCTCTGTACTAAATAATTCAAATTATATGTTTTGATCCTGGCCGTTACTGATTTTATATCAGACTGAGTTAATGCTATCATTTTACTGGCTCTAACTGGTCAAGTTTACATCATATCAATCACGCTTAAAAGATAAAACTGGAAAGAAATAGTGAGGGACTTAAACTGTTAAAAGGTTGATCATGAACATGGTCACTGGAATAGTTTGGACTACCTCGGGATTGGCTAGATGTAAGTGCAAATGTTGGGCTTCTCTACTTTTGATATGTGAGGACACATCTGGTAGAAGTAAGTCCTATCTCCACGGTCTCCTCAGGTTGTACGCTTTTATGAGTAGCTGTAAAGTTTCCTGGCAAGTTATCAGTTTTCATGTTAGACATTCTGGATTTGTGTAATAGAAAGTTTGGCTGTGGGTATCATCATTTCAATTTGCATCGAGTTAAGTTAAATGTGAGCATGTACAGAATTGTGAAAGCAAGCAGAACATGTTAGTTTCACTTATTCAGGTTCAAGTGGAAGGGAATGGAGCCAACGAATCAAACAAATATACTATCTCAAATTTTGTCTCTGATAAATTCTTTATACTTCCAAAATGTTGTGAATTGAACAATTAAACTTTATTGTTTGAGCTTCAGCATTACTGAATGACCAAGCATTCACTTAATCTGTTTTTGGTATATAACTGTTGTTTTTTGTTTGAACTTGTTGAAGTTGTTTAATAGTTATAGTCCCTATTTACCATCAAGGAAGTACTCGTGCCAGAAATAGGAGTGGCCTAGGAAAGTGAAATTATTCAATCATTCAATTTTGAAAGTTGTAGAAGTGTTTCCTGTCTCCAATATCAACTTTTAAGTATATTCATCAATATTAATTGTAAATTTGTTAATATGCTTGTACACTGAACTTTATATTATTTGCTGATAATGGTCATGTATTCCTCAGGATGGCAAAACATCCCAACTTGAACATGTATTTATCCGAGGCAGCAAAGTCAGGTATGGACTATACCTTATGGGCATTAGGATTGAATAAAATTTGTATGTCCAAAGATTATAGAATTTCTATATGGTAATTGTAAGGGCTCTGAGATTTCGTAACTAAATGATTTTAACAGGTTTATGGTCATACCAGACATGTTGAAGAATGCACCCATGTTTAAGCGTTTGGATGCTAGAATCAAGGTACCTTCATATCTATTATTGATCGAGGACTCCTATTCTGTACACATGTTCTTAGTGTAACTTTTTCTTCTTGAATACCATAAAGGGCAAGGGTGCCTCACTTGGAGTTGGCAGGGGCAGAGCAGTTGCAATGCGAGCAAAGGTTCTTACACACTTTTCCTTAATTATATACGCAAAAGCTTTCAATCTGGTCATATACACAAGATTTGTGTTTTAACTCTAAACTAGGCATATTTTATCGTATATTTGCACGAAGTCTGAGAAATTGTGAAGTTTGCAGTTTTTGATATATTTTATATTGATTTGCTTGTGCAGGCTCAAGCTGCCGGCCGAGGAGCAGCACCTGGTAGGGGTGTTGTCCCACCTGTGAGGAGGTGATTAGTCTGCATATAATCTCCTTTTCCCATCCTCTGCACGCTGAACATGATATCTATTTGTGGGTATGAGAAACAGAAACAAATAGGAATTGCTTATCTAGACGTAATTGATTTCTCACTTGTGGATATATTAATCCTACTACTCCTCCGCTCTTTTTGGTCTTGTATTATGTACTTGGCATCTCATTTCGATAATGGTTCTGTAGAAATGACTTTGTTTGACTGTCCCGCTCAAGTGTACCCGCTGAAGTGCTGTCTGAAAGTACAATCCTAATGGGGAAAAAATTAAATGTCATACTTGATGCAAATTTGGCCGTGAAATCAAGTAATCACCTCTTAAAAAATAAGTTGAAGTTTTCAAGTTACTTGTTATGATATCTTATTTTAACTCGTGAACATATTTACAAGTATCATATTGTTTGTTCCAATTAAAAATATTTTCAATTGATATTAAAAGTTAAAATTTGGGGGGGGGGGGTTTGTCCTTTGTATCAGTTTTAAACGAGTCACTTCACAATGTTATGATATGAACATTGATTAACTTGATTTTTATTGGTTGATTGATTGTATTTAAATTTCGTTCAAAGTTGGTGAGTTGCAGTACGACGTCGACATCTAACGAGAGAGAATAGGGATCTTGTTGCTATTGCAGGGCTGCGTCGAAGCTCGTCTGCGTCAAATTGCTAAATATTTTATAAAAAAAATATAACTTTTAGTTTTTGAATTTTATTCATGTTTTGTTATATTTTTTTTTTGATATTTTGGTTTTTTATATTTTTATTTTTTTGTGTTATAAGTTCGTAAATGAATTAAGTATAAGAACTTTAAATAAATATAAAATTAAAAAATAAAAATGTAGATATTTAAAATGTTAAAAATATGTAAAAATTTATAATAAAATATGAGTAAAGTATTAAAATTAAAAGGTAAATTTTTTTCATATTTTATATATTAAAAAATGTTAATGAAGTAAACGAAATATAGCACCTCACCCAATCACCGCCCCTTCACTCCGCCATCCGGGAAGTTTTATCATAGCCTTTTAGTTGGTGTTGGGTATCAAGTTGTCTTGTCATGATTATATTGTATTCTTTTTGCCTTGTGCGATCTTGTCCAGTTGTCCCCAATTTAGGCTTCAGGGACGTGCAAGGTCTGGTTTGACTCGAATTAAATTTGGCTTTGACTGACAAATGATTGGACGAATATTGGATCTGACCCGACTTGGCCTGCAAGATAATGCCAGATTTTTTTTTTTTTTCCTTTTTGAATGTAACTTCTCCTTTCTTTCTTCAAATGTAACTTCCTCTTATTCATGGATTAAGCCGGGTCACATTAATGACAAGATTCTCCCAACAAGTATTTACTATAACTACATAACCAAGATTCCAACTTAAGGCTACTTATTAAGTTAGTACACTCATTTACTCTTTTCAAACCACAATATAAATCATAATTAATTAATTTTATAATTTATAAATAATGTTAATTTAACCTTAAACTTTTAAAAATATTCACATATTTTTATTTAGATATTTATCAAATATCCTACACAATAGCCTTGATGATAATATTTAAAATTTTAATGTATAATTTTTTTAAAAAAATAATAAATAAAATAGGAGTATAATTGAAAAAATATTTATGAAAATTATACAATGTTTTATATTTTAGATCATATAGAGTTTTTAAAAGATATTTTATATTGTAATTTGGTGAGAGTATTAGTTTTGGTTAGATACTTCTAATTTTATTAATGATATTTTTTTTATGTAGTTATCATTTTTTGATCAATAGTTTCTAGGCGCTGCACGTAACTGAAGACTGGAAGATGTACTCGCCTTCTCCATGAACGTTGATTTCTGTTTCTGCCCGGTCATGGACAGCTGCATGATAATGAATACTATTCATTTTGAATGTTGTCAGAGCCAAATAGACCAAATAGAATGGATTATCTTTAGCAGCTAAATTAATCTCCTTAGTATATCAGCCACCGATATTCTTCTGGGCCAATCACGGTATTCAAGACCTTTGACGACGTGGCATGTTAGGAGTGGCCCATGTCACGCCTTATCAACAAGTGGTTGTGAGGGAGTCATCAGAAAACCCCAAAACGGGATAGGGATCCATAAATTCATGACGTCTTCAAATATTTTAACAATTTTCCTCTACTTAATCCACCTTTTTTCTATGCCATACAAAATTTAAATGCTAAACATGCCAAATATTTAAATTTCCTTCAAAAATATCGGCGATAACTTCAACAGACGATCATTCAGTTTGTTTTTTTCAATATATCTTCGTTTGAAAACAAGTGCTTTTCTAAAACAGTTAATTAATTTTTTTTTCTAAACCACATACCATACTAAAAATACTGGGTGCTCTTTGAGTATATTTTATTTATTAAAGTTGAACATCTAAATCTGTATTGTTTTGTTAAAAACTTGCTCATAACAGTATAAATAAATCCACTAAATAATGATAAACACATAAATATCACATAATTGCTCAAACGGTATTGCATTTTTCTCATGAAATATCTTAAAAAATAATTAGTATAACAAAGATGCAGAATAATTTAAAAAGAGTTAATGATTAAAGTCAGAACATATTCACATTTTAAAACATGAAATGATGATGCCTTCCCACACCTCTAAATTATAAACTAATACTTTTTCTCTGTTTTTATTGTAAATTGTAATTGTAATATATTATAATACAATGTTAAAAAAAGGCTGTACAATAATATATTCGGGTCTCGAAAAATATATATTTTTTACAATCAAGAAAAGTTTTGATGAAAAAGTTTAACAGCTCAGGCCAAAAACAATTTAACAGCAAAATATAAATATAAGTAATTATTTTTAAGTCGAATTATAATATCGGATTTTAACGCGGCATTTCGTTGATGGTTCCCAAACGAGATATTGTCTTTTTTTTTTCCCCCCCTTTTCCTTTTCCTTTTTGGTGAACCCAAACGAGATGACGTTAATTTGTAACTCGAGTCGCAGCGGGAGCGCCACGTTAAATTCCATAATAATTATAATTAGAAATAAGTTTTTTTCTTTGCCGTATATATGTCATAAAGAAGTTTATAAATCGGTAGATGAGGCGTGAAGTCCTGTGATCTCCGCACGAAGGAGAAAGCTCTTCCCTCTCGTTCGATTAGCTGCTGTAACCCTATTCATGGATCCGTACAAGGTACTGGAATTTCGACATCAATTCTTCCGATTTTATTCCTCAACTGTAAACTCTTTCATGCTATTTTTTCAGTTTATTCCTCCTCCTGTTAGAGGTGAGATTGAAATCTTTCTTTTCTTTTTATGGTTTAAGAAATCTTCAATCTCCTTCTTTGTTTTGATTTTCGTAATTCTTCCTGTATTGATTTTGTCTATTTGGAAATCAATTCAGAAATATCGTTTAAGCATTTTCCCCCCAATAAAAACGATACATCATGACTTATCTACTCATGTATATGAGTGGGTATTTTTGTTTCTAGGATTATGAATTTATGATTATAGGATGTCTGCTGACTAGTTTGCTGCTTTTGTTATGCAACGCAGTACCGTTCATCAAGCGCCTTCAATTCTCCATTCTGGACTACCAATTCTGGTGCTCCTGTGTGGAATAATAACTCATCTCTAACCGTCGGATCTAGAGGTATTGCTTACTTTTGCAATTTCCAGTCTTTGTGTACGTGAGACAATATTAATTAGGCCTGGGGACGTTATCCATAATTTTTGTGTAAACTATTGATGTCAAAAATGCTCATTTGAATGGTTATGGACTTCTTATTGGCGGAAGTTCTAAAATCCTCAGAAGGAACCTGATTGTTAAGATGATTTAATCTGAGTGCCATAACGGTCAATAGTCAAATTCAACAAGAAAGTTATTGTTGGTTGGGCACCAAGTTGTGAAATGATTTTAGTCTTATTGTTCTGAAATCAATGTTAAAAGTAGCTTATTGCCAGTGAGTACCAATAGCGTAGTTGAAAATAGCTGACTAGATTTTTATTATTAGCTGATAGCTTCAGTAATTACTCCTTTCAATTTTATTGTAACACATTTTTAACTGTTTCACACATCTTAAAGAAAAGTTTTTTTTTCCCCTGATGTCACAAAAAATTGAGATGTACTTCCTTTTTATCCTTGATTTTTAATAATAATACAATTATATTAAATACCTTTACGTTAATCAAGAAAGGATAAAATTAAAAAAAAGTAGTTTAAATTTTACAAACTGTCTTACATTCTGGACCAAAAATTATTTCTGGAAGGTGTCCTGCATATAGGACTGGGGGGAGTATGACTTATTAAGTATTCAGGCTTCATTATATTGATGTTTGTTAACCTTGTTTATTACATGCCAATATGTTTTCTCACAGTATTGGTTTGTTTATTTCTTTTATTCATGTTGATGAATGTTTTAAGTGTGAAGAAAAAGTAAAGTCTCAGGTTCTACTAAGCTATTGTAAGGGAAGGAATGCCTCAATGACTTGGTCAAAATAGGGAGGGTGTTGTTATTGATCAATTTGTTGTAAAGCTTAAGGAGTGAATTTGGTTGTATATCAGTAATTTTAAATTATTTATATCTATCCCATTTTGCAGGTCCAATTCTCCTGGAAGATTATCATCTGGTAGAGAAGCTTGCAAACTTTGATAGGGAACGCATTCCCGAACGTGTTGTCCATGCTAGGGGAGCCAGTGCAAAGGGTTTTTTTGAAGTCACGCATGACATTTCTCAACTGACATGTGCAGATTTCCTTCGAGCGCCTGGAGTTCAGACACCAGTCATTGTCCGCTTCTCTACTGTTATCCATGAGCGTGGTAGCCCTGAAACTCTGCGGGATCCTCGTGGCTTTGCTGTGAAGTTTTACACCAGGGAGGTAATGATTTGAGGGTACAGAATTAAAATTATCTTCTGATGGTACATATAGATAATTGTGTAAGTGCGAGCATTAGATCAACGTTTCTGTGTCTCACATATTTAAAGAAGTTCCTGTGTTAACTAAGAAAACAAGTTTAGTTGCTGGATGGTTGATATATATCTACAAAGCAGACAATGTAGTTATAGTTGTTTGCTTTATGGTGCTATGTGTAATTTTTATTCCTACCTGGTGGCAGGGTAACTTTGACCTTGTGGGAAACAACTTTCCTGTCTTCTTCATCCGTGATGGAATGAAGTTTCCAGATATGGTCCATTCCCTTAAACCCAATCCCAAGTCCCACATCCAGGAGAACTGGAGGATTCTTGACTTCTTCTCCCACCATCCAGAAAGCCTTCACATGTTCACCTTCTTATTTGATGATGTTGGTGTCCCACAAGATTATAGGCATATGGATGGTTCTGGTGTTAACACATATACCTTAATCAACAAGGCTGGGAAAGCACACTATGTGAAATTTCACTGGAAACCTACTTGTGGTGTTAAGTGTCTTTTGGAGGAAGAGGCCGTTAAAGTTGGAGGATCTAACCACAGTCATGCAACTCAAGACCTTTATGATTCAATTGCTGCGGGAAACTATCCTGAGTGGAAACTCTACATCCAGATAATAGATCCTGATCACGAAGACAGATTTGACTTTGATCCGCTTGATGTAACCAAGACTTGGCCTGAGGACATTTTACCCCTGCAGCCTGTTGGTCGCCTGGTCTTGAATAAAAACATTGATAACTTCTTTGCTGAGAATGAACAGCTTGCATTTTGTCCTGCCATTATAGTACCTGGAATATACTACTCAGATGATAAGTTACTCCAAACACGGATATTTTCCTATGCTGATACACAGAGACACAGACTTGGACCAAACTATTTGCAACTTCCTGCTAACGCTCCCAAATGTGCTCATCACAACAATCATTATGATGGCTTCATGAATTTTATGCATAGGGATGAAGAGGTAAATCATTTTTTCCTTTTTTACCCCTGTGCAAGGCTAATTATCATTTTTTAAGTTATCAACTACCTAATGCCATTCTATTATTCATTTATGTGCTCAAGGTTCCCTAATTCATGCTGTCATACTGCAGTTTATCTGCTATTATTTTATTTTCTTCTAACGACTGCACTGAATTGCTGCTGATTTATAGATCGATTACTTCCCTTCGAGGTATGATCCTGTTCGACATGCGGAAAGGCATCCCATGCCTCCTCCTATTCTTACTGGAAAGCGTGAAAAGGTTAATTCTCAGTTCTCCTGAATTGCATTATATAAAATGTTGAACATCCTTGGGTAAATTAAACCACTGGCCATAGGTTTCAATTTAGTATATATTTAGTTAATTTTGGGCATTGTTTTGTGCAAGAAACTGCACAATTTGGCAAACTCTAATCATATTTCAGAAAACTTCATTCAGAAGCATCATTAGAAACACATTCTGACAATTTTTGTTCTTCTAATTTATGAAGTCAAACAAAGATGCATAGCAGAGTCAATATGAAATTTGGTCAAGCCCTACATAGGAAAGTGAATGGTGTTAGTAGAAAAAGTGGGCCTCGATTAATTGAATGGTGCTTATTCCTAGTATTATTAGTTATGGATGGGTCGAAGGAAGAAACTGGTAATAAATGTTTTGAAAAACAAGTGATTAAGTTCTGAAGACAAACAGTCGAAGGACTAGAATGTGGGAATGACTCAAATTGCTTAATCTACAGTGCATAATTGAGAAGGAGAACAACTTCAAGCAACCTGGAGAGAGATACCGATCCTGGGCACCTGACAGGTGGCTGTTACAGCTTTCAGTGTAAAATGAATAAAATATTGTTCATATCTAACACAAATATTGCATTCTCCCCGGTGTTTTCCCTACAGGCAAGATAGATTTGTCCGTCGATGGGTTGAGGCTTTGTCTGACCCACGTGTCACACATGAGATCCGCAGCATCTGGATATCATACTGGTCCCAGGTGAGAGTCGCATTTACATGAGTGTAATTTATCAATAAGAAATGAATTTACACAGCGCTTGTGCGTGCTCACGTTACTTTCTTTGAATATGCACCCAGGCCGATCGTTCTCTTGGACAAAAGATAGCTTCTCATCTGAATTTGAGGCCAAGCATCTAAGGCTGGGAGAGTTGGTGGTGAACGAAGACGGTATCAAACATGTGGCGTATGCGGGTTTGGGAGAGTTCGGGTCATTGCAGTCTAATGTCATATACCAACTAGGACTTACTCCCTGCATTAATGCCAGGGGATATGATATCATATGCATTGTATAATAGTAACATTTGTTTAAAAATTAGACGTGTCTCTCATATATTTTGATTGCCATATGCTTAACTGTTTGGACGGTCTCTATTTAATAAATTGGCCTCGTAATTTGTGTTATTCTATAACATTCATTTGTGCTACTTCTTTATTTCGCCTTTTAGATTATTTTATCCTTTTTAGTTGCATATCGATGATCATTTTATGATTGGAAATAACTGAAGTTTGTGCTGTTTGTGATAAAAGGTAAAATGCCACGGGGCATAATTTATCTTAATTTTGTCATTCGAAACTGAATCCTCGCAATTCCAACTGTTTGAAAGTATCAAGACATTTAAAAATTTTAATTCTTAGATCTTGATTGTTTAAATAAAACAATTTATTATAAGGATTTTTGTATATATAGTTTATTTTATAAAATCAAACCTAATGAATAGCTTAATATTTATTATATTTTGTATTATGATATTTTAATATTTAGTTTGAGTTTTATATGACAAAACTATCATCTTTACAAATAATTTGACCTTCTTTCAAATAATTTTTTTTTTGCACAAAAACATTCTTTCAAATACTCAAAGATAGAAGAAATGATAAAATTAAATATTTCTGCATTTACAAAATTAAATGGTGTTATAATTTATTAGCAATATAAAATTGTATATCCAAAACATTAAAAAAATTATTTGTCCAAAACAAATCAAGCATGATCAATAAAAAATTCATGACATCTTAGCTTATCATAAAAAATTAAATATCTAAATAATAAACTTCATTTTCCATCTTAAAAAGTGACAAAATTAAATATCCCTATATCTACAAAATTAAATAATGTTGATAATATACTATCGACACAAAAAAAATATAATTATTTGCTCAAAACAAATCAAACATAAGCCATAAAAAATTATAAATATTTTAACTTATCACAAAGAATTAAATACTCATATGCAATGAAAGTTCTAAGCTTACATTCATATTTGCATAAAAAACCGTGGCAATGAGACTCGTTTGCAGAGACAAAAAATTAAATTATTTATGTTAGGGCATTTTTTACAGAAAAGTACACTTGTTAGAATAATAGAAAATACTCTATGAATATCACCTTAATTCCTCCACCTACCAAAAATAGAAAGGAATTATTGTGAAAGGACTTTCACGCTTATCAATAGGCACATTAATACATTATTCGCATCAAACATGTTTCTAAAGTAATGTTGTTGTCATCGGAGATATCGTGCATTCGCAAACACAAATGACTTAAAACGCATCTTCAGATACAAAGCACCAACATCCAAGTTAGGTAAATCCATCAAAATTAGATGCAACCTCTACTTTATCTACTCCTAGCTAATTAACAATATTAGTAAGTTATTTACTTGACACTATTCTACATGACAGGATTTAAGTTATACACTTGATATTGCGATTTGCTCTTTCTTTTTTTGTTAAAGAAATGCACGATACCAAGAACGATCGCATAACAAAAGCGTTTCAGGAACGATAGACAGCGATCCAGCCAGCCCGAGCCCAGAGGGGCAAAAATTAATCAACAAATTGGACCGGTTCAAACAAACATCAGTATAGAATAATCCTAGTTAAACATCAGCAAAAACAGAAACCGAATAGCAAAGGAATAAAAGCAAATCCAGCGAGAACATTCAGAGTAGCTCCTTCGGTTCAAAAAATAGAATTACTTGCACATCACAGTACAGCAAGAACTGACAGAGAATATGGAAATAATAATCATTCAGAAAAACCGAACACTCCAACTTGGGTTCCGGCAGCAACTATAACCGGAACTATAGAGTCAAGCTTGCCGATTCTTGGCACAGCGCATACACAATCATGCAACTAATCCCTTAGGCCTCTCGGATAGTTGGAAGCACAGTAGGATTGCAATATTCCAGTTTATTTAAATACGTAAGATTATAGCCCCGACAAAACATACTTGAGTTAAATGTGAAGCAAAATTTAGGTCAACGTATGAGAAACATCTCATGTGTAAAACATGATCCTTCAACCCAATCAGAAACGTACAAAAGACAGCGATCATAAAGACTAAAAGTTAACCCCTGGTGACAAATAACAATGACAAACACGCAGCATCATTCAACGGATTGCACCTTAATAACGCTCCTACAAAACCCATTGAGTTTAGACCAACAATAGCAAAAGTTAATCAGTCAACACTTGAAGAACCAAACCAATGTTTCAACAATGTCAAGGTCACCGGAATAGCTGAAACACATGTAGTTCATCTTTTTCCAAATCTTGACGTTCATAGGCATCAGAATTTGAAAATTGAGGGCAAGGCAAAGAAACAACTTCAGTATCAGACGATAAACATACTATATCAAAATGATAATCCTAGCATCTAACAATATAAATTACAAGTGTATGACCATAAGGAGCATATTACCAAACAGATTTGACATTTCAATCACTGAAGTACAAAAGCTGAAAAAAAAAAACAAAGAAATGCCACAACATCAAATGGGAACATCCTACTATGAGATATTATAAATGACAAGTCAGCCAGGATGTAAAATTAAAATCAAAATGCTTAGCCGATAAGAATCTTCAGATCTTATAATCTGGATCATGAAAACCACGATCACCATCCTCACAAAAGTAAACACAGAGCAAGCATATACACAGAACAAAGGATAGTTCTACTAAAACACCCTCAAGAGAAACATAACCACATAATTAAAATTCCACAACAGCACAAAACATCACCACCTGCAGATACCGGTTCCAGCAACAATAAGTTCTATTGACACCAACAATTTCCAATACATGATGGAATTTCTCATGAAGTCATCCAACTCAATAACAACGGAGAGAACAAAATTGAAACCTTGCAAACAAGCAAACATGAAGCATCAGCTACTGCATACACATAAAGCATGCATAACAAGGAAGAGCTTCTTGCATCAACCCACAAGATACAAACATCACAGAAAAACTGAGGCTACAACATGCAGCGAATGATAGGCCCAATTATATTGATACAAAGTAACCAGGTTCCAGCCAGATAAGCATATGATCAAACTAAAAGCTCTACAAGAGGCCATCGCCACTCAGCTAAAGACTAGAAAGTACAAATAGAGCTTAAATCCCTACTATACTATTAACTTCCAGAAGGGACAACACAAAACAATTAAGGGAGCAGCAATATTTTTTGGAAGCAGGAAATAGACTTAACATGAAAAGACAAGAGTGTTCAGAACAGCTATAGTCCATCTCTACTCGTCATCTTCCTCCTGCACACGAGAACATTAAAGCCAATGAGATATTAATTGTATGAGATTGACGGGCAGAGCCTCTAGAATACAATTAAAATTTAAGCAAACCTCATCACTGCCCTCTTCATCTCCTTCATCTTCATCATTCACCTCAGAAACTGACTTCTCAGATTCTTCTTCATCTGCAGCATTTGGACCTTCCGCCTAACAAGCCACGCAAGGAAAACACGATAAGTATAAGCTGGAAAAGTAAACCATGATACCAGTACAAAAATGTGTTTCGCAATGACGCACCTGTCTCTTGTTATAAGCTTTCATATTCTTCTCGTAATCAGCCTTTCGTTTCTCTGCTTTAGCAACATAGGGTGCCTTCTCCTAAAATCATTCAAGCTTGTTTTAAATTGAAGAACAAACCACAACACGCTCAAGAAAAAATAAGAAACAAAAAACAGAGAATACATACAGCATCAGACATGGACTTCCATTTCGCCCCAGCAGCTTTGCCAACCTGACGAATTAAACAATATAAGGTTTGACAGGCATATTAAAACAACGCAGATGAATGCTCAGCCACTAGATTAATTCTCTAAAAATCATAAACAGAGTTACAGGAACTTACAGCAGACACTGCTTTGTTGTCAGGATTTTCCTTGTTAAACTGCTTCCTAAACTCCTCCCTATAATAATAAAATTTAGAAAAATGAGGGAAAGAATGAACATCAGACAGGGGCAATAAGAAGTTCAGCGTCAATACGTCTCGTGGAGAAGCAATTGCTTCTAGCACACTTGATATGTAGATGCAATTTATCATTAAAGAGATTATAACAGTAAAAAACTCTACTGATACCTTTTGAAAGAGTAAAAGCTTTGACCGGAACTATATCCGGTGGAAACAGGACAGAGAGCACAAGGGAAATCAAACTGGAGGGATTAAAAAAAATAATTACATGAAAACAAAGAAGGCACTGGCCGGTCTCTTTGGTTTGTTAGGGTCTTTCGCAGCCTTCCCCTTACTTGATTTCCTGCCTGCCTTGGTGGCGGCGCCGCCCTTCTTATTCACAGCAAGTCTGCCATCACAAATAAAAGGAATAACAAAAAACGACAGAGCGACGTCTAAGCAGGTTGACCAGGGAGGATAAAATATTTCAGATCCCAGATCTGACGAGCCTGACTTTTTTCCTCCTTTTACCCTAGGGCTCGAACGAAAGCGCATCTATTAGGATTTAAATAACCAAAAAATTAAGGAAAAATGAAACTCACTTGGCATCAGCTTTCTTAGATTCAGCCTTCGATTTGCCACCTTTCATGTCGAAAACTGCAGCTAAATAGCCGAATCAGTTCTGCTTCGAAACTCGATCGGAAAATAAACGCAGAAAAAACAATACAGAAAACAAAAAGCGTCAAAAATGGCGAAAAAATTTGGGGAATTACGTACCAGGATGGTGAATTGGAGGCTAGGATTCCCGAAGGAGAGAGAAATGAGTTGGGGACAAGAGATGATGGGTGACTAGGGCTTGAAACGGCGAAAGACGGAGATATTAAGCCTCTGGAAGGAAATTGAAATTCAATTGCACGCGAAATGAAATCAACTAGGGGTTTAGGCGGGATTTTAACTCTGCAGCGTAAATTTTGAGAAAAATTTATGGACAGCATCTGCGATGAAAAAAATATTTATATCATATCAGATTTTTTCTCCTTTTTTTTGGCCTTCAAAAAAATTAACAGAGAATTTAATTTAATTGAGTCATTAATATTTATTAATATTTTCATTATCAGATTAATCAAATTAGCATTTTTGATGAAAAATGTTTTCATTTTCTATAGTTATATTTAGAAAATTTTTGTATAATTTAGCCTAATTTGTTAAGGCACTCCAGATTAATATAAACTTAAATAATATAAAACCACGCAAGTAAAAAATAAAATCATTCAATGTTTAATAATCAGTTTAATTTAATGTTTAATGTTTTACATCTGATATTGATTGTATTACCTTGATTATTTTAATTTATTGTGGATCATAAGATACATTGTATTGACAACATTAAATTTAGTGATCGAGTCTGTCCTATTTTGATTAACACAATTTCATTTCAATTATAATGGAATGAGTTTATTTTCATTTTAAAAGAGAAAGACAGGTAAGAATATGTTTCGAATGGTACAAGATATTTTATTCTATCCCGACTTTATTATTATACTTGTTTCTTTTATTAATGTTTAATATTTTGTTTTTTTAATTAGAATAAAATATATATTTTTATTTATTTATTTTATATTCTTTTTACATAACCTTCTATTCATTTAAATTATGTAACTTAATAATTATGTTGTTATTATAATATCTGTAACCTGAAAATCATTCAAGGTTATTGTGCACTTGATTTCAAAGTATTATTGTTATGATTGTGTTTTTTATTTTAAAGTGTAGCTAGTGTAACTCAATGATTAAACTTATGAACTTATGTTGTTTTAATTTTCAGCTTAACAAGCCATAAAATTTAATAAATATAACTAATCAAATCTCTCTTTCATGATTTTTTTTTGTTTTATCATGAGAATCAGATTCCATTTAAAATGAGACAAGACGAACTACAGGATAAAAAACTAATCCCACTCATTTTTTGAGATGAAACAAAAGACAAGAGTATTTTGGTCTTGTCTTGTTCCATGAACACTTCTAAACTATACTTTATTTCCAATAAAATCTTCTGATACCCTTTTTATTGAATATATGCACACAATACTTATGCATGTACGTGTGTGTGTTATAATTAGTGGATAAAAATCAATGCCATTGCAATGTTTTCTTCTGAATAAAATTCATGTATAATCAGATGTAAGATTAGTTAAACTTTTTTAAAACAAATATGATAGTTTAATTCTTAATCAAATGTTTTGAAAATGAAAATCTTGTTAAATTATGCAATTGTTGGAGGCATCAGATAAATCTATATATGAAATATGGCCATTTAAAAAAAAAACTGCATATATTTTCTTGAAAGTTAATTTGAGTCCCATTTTTCTTCTGCCTTTCTGATGATATAATAATAATAATAATAATAATAATAATAATAATATGGATATATTGATTCGATTTACTTGGAGGGTTGCGATGCAGGGCAGCATGGAGCGTCACTATATGGTACGCTGTAGAAAAACCGGTCCGGCTCAAGAGTCCAAACAGGCAAACACAGACAATGACACGTCATCAATCCATGCGCTGTCTGTCTATTGGCTGCGTAAATGCGAAGCACTCCGAAAGCTCCTGTCACTGGTTTTCGTTGGCGTGTTTCTGGCCAAGTTTTTTTCTTCCCATTCTCGTGCCTTCCTCTTCTGTTGACGGAAAGGCGGAAAGCAGACTACCCTGCCCTAGAGCAGTGCGGATCGGGGAATACAAGACCCTGGTGGATAAATTATATAAATTTATTTTCCTAGCTATTTATTTACAAATCAAATCTAAAAAAAACTCTGAAATTATACTGTAAGATTGTGAAATTAACATGTAAAATCTCAAACATTACATGTTATTTCCCTTGTATTGTTCATTACGTCCATAACTTTATCTGTGCATTATTTAACTTGTGTTAAATCTATTTATTATAGCTTGTTAAATTAATAATTTTACTTATTAATTTTCTTGTATTGTTTGTTAAGTTCATAACATTGCCTATGCATTTATATCTAACCCACGTTAAATCTATCAATCAAGACTTATTAAATTTTTAACTTTACTTATAAATCCACTACTATTATTTGTTAAGTCCATAACCTTGTATGTTTTTAAATGTTAGGACAATTTAATTATTTTACACTAAACATTTATTTCAACTAAATTCTCCTTGCAATGAAATTTCAAATATTTTGGATGTGATTCGTAAATGCATAAATATTGTGGTTCTTAGATGAGATTCTCTCTTATTAAAATGAATTATTTTCTTTTATTATTTCCTTTTATTTTTAGAGACATCCAAAGTATTAATATTAATCAACGTGTTACGTGTGAGTATGTGAAAAGCATTAATTAAGGATGACTTTTACTAATTACTTTCCTGATATATAGTATTATATAATTTTAACGGATGGTGCGAAGAGGAGGAGCGCGTGGGGGCAGTATTGACTTTAAACAAGCAATAGGATGTGTCCAGATTTATTCCATCAACATCCGTGGAATAAAATTTGGCCGAAAGTTTTCTAGTGGAATGATGCAAAGGATGAGCTTCATGCAAGCTAAACACGGCTAATAGTAATATGATGTCCGTATGCTTTTTCTTTTCTAGTGTTTCCCATCTAACATGAAAAATTATGAATAATTATTTATAGATAAGTTCTATAAAATTTAAAAACTATAAACAAGTTTTTGAGGATCTGAGTATAATTTGAAATGAATGTGTAAAAATAATAATATTCTTATTAAAAATACATTATATCAATTAACTTATTTACAATACAATAACTTCATTAGCTTTTGAAGATGATGCAAAGGATGAGCTTCATGCAAGCTAAACACGGCTAATAGTAATATGATGTCCGTATGCTTTTTTCTTTTCTAGTGTTTCCCATCTAACATGAAAAATTATGAATAATTATTTATAGATAAGTTCTATAAAATTTAAAAACTATAAACAAGTTTTTGAGGATCTGAGTATAATTTGAAATGAATGTGTAAAAATAATAATATTCTTATTAAAAATACATTATATCAATTAACTTATTTACAATACAATAACTTCATTAGTTTGCAACTATCATTTCAATTTTTTTTTTACAAATATAACTTTATATATTCAATAGTTAAATTGATTGTGCATTAAACTTACAAATTTAATACTAACCATATATAGTTTATATTGCCAGTAATTTATAACTATTGCTTCAATATTTTATAATTATGTATTCATATATTTAATAGTTAAACTGATCATGAGTTACTAATAAAGTTTAACACTAATTGTTTACAGTTACCTCATTAGCAATTCACAAATGTTACATCAATATTTGACAATAGTGACTTTACATATCTAATAATTAAATCTCTCATGTGATACTAACAAAGTTATAATTGTTTACAACCAGTTCGTTAGTAATTTACAATTATCATTTTAACTTTTTACAACTATAACTTCACATATCAAATAATTAAACTAATCATGTATTACAAGTAATCATATTATTGTCTTTGTATTTTAATTTCAAATTATACTTAGGTTCCAAAAAATTTGGCTGTGGTTCATAAATTTGAAGGAACTTATTTTTGAATAAGTCTGTTCCACATAACCCATACGCAATTTTCCTTTCATCTTATAAGTGACATCCTTAAAATTCAACCTCTTATTGATCATACTAGTTAAGGATAACTAAGTAAGATTAGTGTGATGTGTGATCTAAGAGGACTACTAAGCATTTTTTGTTATGGTCTCATCCACAGATTTGGGTATAAAGAAACATTAGGGTCACTTGGGCATCAAAAAAGGGAAGAAAACCAAAAAGAATGTCTCGGTGCCACATGTCGCAGTAAGTGTGTTGCATGCCATGGCGCATTTGATTAGAAAACATGAAGGGACTTCTTAGCACCACATGCCAAAGTGTATATGATGTGTGCCACAATGCATGCCTTAGTTTTTGCATAAATAAGACATGAATCAAAGGGAAAGATCAGGAGAATTAAAAGGAGAAAATGAAGAACACTTGAAGAGCCCTGCTAGGGCTTCAATTTCAAGAGGTTTGGAGACATTTTGAAGTTATTAAACCCTAAAGGTAAGTCTCTTAATTTTTTATTCTTCCTTCCCAACCCATTCTCTTAAATTTTTTGTTAAGGTTTATTAAGGGGAGTTGATTTTTGGTTTATATAGGTTATAGGTCTAAGACCATTAACTCAAATGAAAATAATGAAAGTTATTTGAAATATTTAAAACTTAAAATTTATGAGTTTACACATTTTAGTTGTTGAAGAGGCCTTTATAACTGAATTTTCATTATAAATAAGGTGGTTGAAGAGGTTTGAATACCATTAATGATCAGCTAGGAGTTTAATGATGCTAGTTAGATTAGAGGGAAGTTAACAAACATAACGAATAAGTTTAAATGCTATAAATGAGCACCTTGGGATATTTCAAGTGTTGTAATAAAGAGAGTAAATTGCTTAAACTATGATAATGATGATTTTGGACATTATTAATTGTAGATTAATTGTTCGTGCATTAGTTTGAAATTAAGAGCAAGCTTTAGAAGTATTAACTTGAGGGGTAAATCTCTAACATCTCAAATGAGGTAACTGGGAAAAATCATTCATATAATTGTCTATTGACTGATTTATGTTTGTAAAAAATGTAATAATAGACTTTAAAGATAAGGTTTTATGAATCAACAAATGTGCAATATATGTGAAGTATTAATTTTCTCACTTTGGCAATATTTGCACAGTATTATTTGAAAACACACATCTCGTAATTATGTGTCAAGGCATGCTATTTGTCAAGTTGATAATATAGTATGGTTGTTTTATTAGCATATGATAATACATGTGTGATTAAATGAGAATTTAAATATGTTACAGAATTGATAATGGAAGTGCAGGATGTTTATGAAAATACCA